CATATTTCACTCCTGATTCAGATGAGAGGAAAGAAAGCAATATTATGGATAAAGGACTTGAATTTTAGATGGAAGCAATGGTTTGAAGTAAAAAAACAAATATTCTTAATGAAACAAATGAATTCACTTAAATGATGGAGTCGTTTCTTACAAACATGCAGCTTTTCGCTTCACAAGATGTTAATTGATGGACTGGACTCATGTGGATTACTTGTGAATTATTGTGATGTTTTTATCAGCTGTTTGGACTCTCATTCTGACGGCACCCATTCACTGCACTGGAGCAAGTGATTTAATGCTAAATTTCTCCAAATCTGTTCCCATGAAGAAACAAACTCATCTACATCTTGGACGGTCTGATAGTCAGTACATTTTCATCACATTTTTATTTTTGGGTAAACTATTCCTTGAAGTATTATAGAAAGTCTTCTTCACTGATGAGATTTTACAATCTTTTATGTCCCTCTCACAGGGTCGCTTAGCGAATGGGACAGAATGTGTCATTCTCAAGGGATTCAAGGTGTTTATTTACAGTCATTTGTGTGTCTTATTATTAAGAAGACTAATTAATTAATTGACCTTATGATAATCTCATACATGATGCTCTTCATTTCTCTCTCTAGATATGAGGGGACAGGTTTTGTTGCTCCATTCCTCTGCCACAGACCCACAGTTGGTGTGTAAGCTGGGCCAGTTGCTCTCTGAGCTGGGTTTCAGAGTATTTCTCGACCTGTGGAACCAAACAGAGCTCGGTTCTTGCGGCCCAGCAGCGTGGCTCCACTCTAAGCTCGATCACATCCAGAAACATGGAGGGAAAGCCCTTCTGGTGCTTTCTCCATCAACACTGCAGAGAGCCAAGTTGTACTGGAAAATTGCAGTGGAAAGACAAAGCAATCCTGCCACATACTCCTCAGATATGCTGGCTTCGGCATTGGGCTGCATTTTTGCTGACCGTAAGAAGGGCTGCGGTGCTCAGCGGTTCGTCCTTGTGCAGTTAGACTTTGATGAACTTCCCATCAATGAGGAGCATGACATGCCGAAGCTGTTGAGGGGCCTGCTGCTTTATAAACTGCCCTCACAGTCTCAGGGATTACTTATGGAACTGTGTCTGGAGAACCCGACTAATGTGAGCGGGAAGTTGAAGAAGATGTGGTGGATGAGAAAGGCACAGAGGAAGGTGGCCCAAGGAGTGCAGAACATTTTGTCGAGGGTGAGGACCGATTCCATGCTCACACAATCTGATTTACTCAGCTTAGACATGGAAGACACAGAGGAAATAATTGTTCTCAAAAATGAACAGCACTGATGTGTCATTTACTCCCTCATCACACCAGAACATTGTTTAGATTGTCAGTCACAATCTGTCACAATGGACTATGGACAGATTACATGAACAATAAAAATACCAGAAGGTAATACCATGTCCAAAAAAACACGGTGTTGCCACGTTTTTATAAGAATGCTTGGAAATGCCAATGAAGTTTAGGTATGTGCCATCACATCGTGAAGTACCTTTGGAGTACTATGTGAATATGGTATAATATAGACATTATGTTTACAGTACCTGGCCATAATCTCCTGGGAGTGCTTAAGAAGGAAGTCTGCATGTAGGACTTCCAATATAAATGAAGAAATTCCACAGTGCATATGCTACAGGAAGTAAAGAAACTGAAAACACTAAATTTGCAAATTCCCAAAATAATAATAATGATAATAATATTCATACCATCTATAGAAATAGATATGCATTTACTCCTATATTTGCATTGGTATTTGGAAGGAAATTAACTCTAACTGTTTTCATCTAATCTTTTAGGGAATGGAAATAATGGCTTTTGGCTAATATCTATACACAAATATGTAAATATGGCTATATTTATATATATATATATATATGACTGTAATATAGTTTTTAAACTGAAAGTTTGTAATATATGATACATTTGAAATGCTCTGGTTGTACTCAAATACAGTTTTACCCTTATGAGTTGTCTGTCATGGTCTGATGAGTGGAATATAGAATAGATGGAGAATATATAAATAGGCCTATATTGAAGTGGATAGCCAATTAGAGTCTAAAAAAAGAAGCTCAGGAGGGGGCAGCATAAAAATATAGTAGCCTAACACCAGACCCACTGCAGACTAAAAATAAACGCTGTTATTTGAGAAGCGTGGTGTGTAACGTGCGCGAGTCCTCAGCTGCTGCAGCTGCACTGCTTTTGTGCGTCCATGACCGAAGAAACTAGAAACACAAAACGTGGCCCGAAAGTTACCTTCTAGTTAGGTATAATGAATCTAAATAATAATTATTCCACTTTAACTCGTTGTGCATTTAAAAAAAAAATATATATATATATATACACACACACGCTAATACAGATAAAATGTGGGTAAATAGCTTAGCAACTCAGTGAGACCACTATGGCGAAGACTTGCTCTTAATATTCATGGACCAGTTTATCACCTTTGAAAGACTGTCATGCTACGTCACCAGGACCTTATTAATGTTCACGAGTCAAGCCTTTAACATCAAACTTTTACCAGTCGATGCTGGAATATCCTAAGCAATATTTATGAAGCACGCCTTCGCCATAGTAGAGTTTGTCATGTTTCCGTCGGCGGCGCACAGGAGGATCTGCTGGGTGTGTGTGATTGCGTCCTGAACCCGAAAAGCAACAACTTGAAAAGAGCTGGTTACTGACAGCCCAGCCATCACCCTCCCGTCTGTGAGTATTTAAAATACTAATACCATGCTGATCTTTTCTAAACATTTGCATTCTGCTTGTTGAGTTTCATTGTGTTACGGTTTAGCATACATTCAGGTTGCATGATAACCCCTCTCTCACCTTCACTAATGTTACCAATATAAAGCAAAATCGTATACGCACACTGCAACTTCAAATGATCATATTCATAATGATCTACTTGGCTTTAGAAGCTTGCATTGAAACCTGGAATTTGAATTGAAAATCTCATAGTAGCCTATTTTTACATACATACTAATAAAGTAAACAAAATGAATCGATTTAAACTAAAACAGTCTGTCAGTAACCAAGAAGAATGTATAATGTACAGTAATAAAACGTAAGATTAGAACGATTAAAGCCATTTCATTTTAGCAGAATTTTAAATAGTATAACTCATAAGCAGCTCTAGCAATCAAGCCAAGATCTAAAAATGATTATTCATAAAAGCAGTGGCTTGATTTATGTAACATAAACTAAATAAGTTATTACACCTTAAATATTCTATTAACGCAATTCATTTTTAATATAATATAACATGCATGATATTTTTACTGCTTCAGAAAAATATCACACCTTAAAATTGTTCCTTTTTGTTGGATTTTGAAAATTAACTTTTTCCCCCCTGAATATAAAGTCATCACATGTCATTCTAACAGTAAGCTTTGTGGAAAGGGGGGATTGAAGCACTCAGCGTTAGTGCGAGAGTAATGTCACCCTCACGGATGTTCTTCCTGTCTGCTGTGCTCTGCGTGGCCCTTTTTCATCTAATTTTGGGTCAGAACTGCTCGGAGCACTGTAAAGCATGCGGGGGCCCAGAGAAAGACCAGTGCCTTCAGTGCCACACTGGATTCATCCTGCATGACAACCTGTGTGTGGGTGAGTGAGATGAACAGACTGTACGCTTCATTCACCTCATGGTCCATTTCATTCTGAAGTTCACTTCTACACTCTTACGCTGACAGATGTTGATGAATGTGGTACTGATCTGGATCAGTGTCTCGACAACACGTACTGCTTCAACACCCATGGCTCTTATGAATGCAAAGGTCAGTGTGATTTACCCTCAACACACAGATCACCAGAGCAACACATTTTACACTTGCACTTCATTTGTGGTATAATACTGTATACATATTATTTTATTATTTGTCTTTTATCAGGATGTGATAAGGCCTGTGTTGGCTGTATGGGTGGAGGACCTGCCCGCTGTAGGAAATGTGCTGCTGGTTACAGATCATCAGGCATGAGATGCATAGGTGAGTTATTCCAGATAACTAGTCATGTATTGTGTTGTTTTTCAACCTTTGTAGTATAAAATATGGGTAGTTGTAATCATTTAAAAAAAAAAATTAGATGTTCTAGAAATGCTTTGCTTAATGGTCATTATTTCTGAATGTTCTTTGAAACTTTAATTTTTAATTTTATTTAATTAATAAACGTATTATTATTTATTTATTTATTTGGTTATGTATATGTTAAGGGAATATTCCATTTTATAATTTTAAAAGCATTTTGGAAACGTTAGTTTTGAGTGTTTTCTGAACATTCTGAAACAAGTATTAACATTTAAAAAAAACGTTAGATGAATGTCCAGCTAAAATGTTTCAGAAATACAGTAAAACATTCCATGAATTACGCATAAATAATGTTTTGGTGCTAATGTTTTGAGAACATTATTCAAAAACCAGTTAACTCGTAATTGAACATTCTATTAATATTACTGGAGAAGCGTTTGTTCGTAACTTAGAAGTAACTTTGCCAGATTGTTAGCCAAAGTTCTGAGATTGTGCCTTGTTAGCTGGGTAAATACAGGCTGTAAACAGAAGGAAGTATTTTTAGGTAATTTGAGAACAGATATCTTGAATGTTTTTGTCAGCTGAAAATGTGTCATCTGGGATTGTTGTTGGCTAAATTATGCAAACATTGGCCTGACAAACATCAGCATTCTAAATGTAAAAATGAACAGAATTTTAAATAAAGTTGAACTTCTAAGTACGTTCTATGTTATTTTACTTTTATAAATCCCATCTTAGACTTTTATGTAACTGAATAACTGTAGAAAAGTTCCTTAATCTTGATTGCCGTACTATTTATAGCTGGACTGATTAATTTAAAATATATGATAGTTTTGTTTGGGAATTTGCTGCTGTTGTATCAAGCTACTAAACACACATGAACAGAAAATGAATCTCTTATGTAATGACACAAATTAGATCTTCTGCATGAGATGTTTCCATCTTGTGGCTATAAGAAGCATTTCCACCAAGAATGTTAACAACAATTAAAAAAACTCAAACTAATTCAATTTTTTTCCAATAAATATATTATTTTAAATATTTAGTGTTTTGGAAAAGTGTTTCTATAATTGTAGCTGTTTATCTATCTATCTTATCTCATTTTTTCAATTTGCATTTCATGTATGTTTGGTCTGCAGACCAGAAATTACAGCTGTACTTCGTTTCTCCTGCAGATATAGATGAGTGTGCCGAGGAAGTGTTGGCCTGTCCTGGTGTCAATGTGTTCTGTGTGAATACAGAGGGCTCTTTTCTCTGTCAGTGTGCAGTGGGTTACACACGCAAAGGCGACACCTGTGAGAGGAGCCAGACAGCAGGTGAGCTGGAACACATCATTTCACTTTCATTCTCACACGTATTAAATAAGAGAGCCTGTGTTCAAGTGTTATTTTTGTATCAATGAGTATTCGTATTTAGATTTTTTTCTTTTTCAGTTTTAGTATTTTTATTGTGGTTTTGTTATTTGTATTAGTTGTTTTAAAATATATCTATATTTATTTTATTAATTTGATTTCAGTTTTAGTTATTTTAGTTTATCAAGTTAAAATAAGTGAAAGTGGCAAGTAGCTGAATTAAAATGTTTAAGTTTTTTAAAAAAGTTTATTACAAGTAATCAAAATGTATTTTCCCAATGGTTTGAGTTTAGTTAACTATAAAACCCTTCAAGCACACAAGTTGCAGTATTGTATTACTCGGTATATTGTGCTTGTTGCAAAACCTGTTCTGCAGCTTTATTGTCTTGAGAGGCAACATGCTATTAAACGAAAGTAAAATGTAAACATGAAACTGAACTTATTTTCTTTAATGTCTTTTTGTACAAAATTAATCAGTGCATGTTATTATATATATATATATATATATATATATAAATTATTAAATTATATAAAGTATTTATAATTATATAATTGTTTTCTGAAATATTGTTAATCTTCATCGTGCAAAATTTGAAGGAATATTAGCTGTAGGTATACCACTGTTCTACTAACATGTTTGACAATATAACCAATGCATTTCAACAAAAACCTTTATTTAGTGGAAAACACTAAAATAATAAAAAAACAAAAAATCTAAATTAGAGAACAGTAACCACTGTAGCACAAGATTACAACAAAATTACAGCTAAAATTTTGGAGGGTTACAGATGTCAGAAATTAGTAGTAATTGTAGAGCCCCTCGCTTTGAATGACTTCAGCACATTTGCAGCTGCAGGACATCACTAGTTTCTCTCACTGTGCTGGTGTGATCTTGGTCAACTCTTTTTCCACTCGCTTCCAAAGTTCGGTGACTATAGTGGGTTTCTTAGCCATAACTTTGTCAACAATGATTTTCCAGAGATTTTCAGTTGAGATTAAATCAGGACTCTGGGCTGGCCATTTCATTATTTCAGTGTTCTTGTCTTCAAGAAACTGCTTTACCCGTTTTGCAGTGTGACAGGAGTATTGTCTTGCATGAAAATTGCAGGCTGATTGGGAGATGCTTGCAGGGAAGGCATGTTGCTGATGGAGGTTCTTATAAACCTCCATCAGGTTTATAAGCATTCATCCTGCCATGTAGCTGTATAATGGCGCTTTTCCACTGCATGGTACGGCTCTGTACGGTTCACTTTTGGGGGGTTTTCCACTGGGTACAGTACCTGGTACCTGGTACTTTTTTTTAGTACCACCTCGGTTGGGGTTCCAAGTGAACCGTACCGTTACCGAAATGTGACGCGTAAACTCTGCTGATCACTGATTGGCCGGAGAGAATCGCCACTACCTGCGTCACTGAACTTGTGACACAAACACAAAAGAACCGCTAGATTTAAATCAGCACAGCCAGCGAAGGATCGAACGCAACTGTTTTGAACGAGCGCACCTTTTTTTTAACAACTTTCAAAGAACAGACGTTCCTCTCATTGATAGCAGAGGAGCGGATCCAGCGAGAGCTTGATGGGGCGACGCGGAATGAAAAAGTTTTTTTTAGGAGTCGTGGAAGTATAGGCGGGGCAACTATAACGACATGTGAATAATCCCGCCCACTCTAAAGCGGTACTGAACTGCTGTGGAAACCCAAACCGTGCCGAGCCAAACATTGCCGTGCCGTACAGAGCCGTACCGAGCCGAGTCGTTCCACGCAGTGGAAAAGCGCCATAAGAGGCCCAACTCCTGCTGCACAAAACATCCCCCAAACCATGACACTTCCTCCACCTTTCACTGACTTCTTAATGCATTCAGAGTTCAGTCTTTCCCCAGTTTGATGCCAAATAAAATGTTTCCCATCGGACCCAAATAAATTAAATTTGCTCTCATCACTAAAGTGAACTTCGGACCAGTTCTCCTCTCTCCACACAACATGCTCCTCAGCAAAGTTGAGTTTAGAGGCTTGGTTACTGCAGAGTGCGCTTTCAGTACGACTTCTCTTAAACGTGCCAAGACAGATCCGTACTGTTTATCGCTGAACTTGCGAGCAATTCCAGCTGCAGTGTTGAACCGATTCCGCATCGATAGTCTCTGCATTATCCTGTCTTCTCGTGCATTTGTCTTACCTGGACGATCAGCCTTTTTGGGGGACTTGAATGAACTAGTGTCATTGTAAAGCTGAAATATTCTTGAAGTCACAGATTTGGTATGACCAGATTCTCTTGCAGTGGCTGAAAGGGTCATCCCATTGGCTTTCATCTGGACAACCTCCTGTCGCAGGCATTTAGTCACCTTAGAGCGACCCGCCATCTTGCAAATTGAAGGAATGCTACCAGTTAAATAGGATTTGTCATATAATTAAAGAAATGAACACCAGGTGCCAGATTAACACCAATAACTTGGAGGTATCTGTAAGTGTTCTCTAATTTTGATTTAAAAAAAAAAGAAATTGTAAGTTGTTCTCTAATTTTGATCTCCACTGTGTGTGTGTGTGTATATATATATATATATATATATATATATATATGACACTTTTTTTCATGAAGTGTTTTTATGTAATTACAATGACACTGCATTTAAATAGCATAATTTATATAATTAAATATATAAATCACATAATGTAGTGCAAAATGCATTTCTGGATGTTTCTGAATTTACTGATGTCTTCCTGTCTCTCTCCTCAGCTTCTGAAAAAAAGGGTATTTTTGATGACATTCAGGAGGATGAAATTGAGGTTCTGCAGCAGATGTTTTTCGGTGTTGTGCTGTGTGCATTGGCCACATTGGCAGCTAAAGGGGACTTGGTGTTCACCTCCATCTTTATGGGAGCAGTGGCGGCCATGGCTGGATACTGGCTCTCTGATAAGAGCGACCGAGTGATAGATTCCATCTTGAAAGGGAGATAAATGCAAAGGGGCCTGCAAAGCTATTTGCAGTGCTGTTTATGAAGTCTGCTACTTTTCGAGCTGGGCCATTCCTTACACCATGATATGATGGTATGCTCACACAAATGGCTCAAGGAAGCTGCTATAAGCAACATTTTTGTGAGGTATTCAAAAATAAAGCAATAAGCTACAAGAAGCCATCCATTACAGTAATTTTACTTTGCATAAAGGATGTTCTCACAGTAACACATGGCCTACAACTGGCTTATTGCTTTTATAAAATGGCAGCAACAGCAATATGTTTCAAGAAGTATAGTAATAAGCATGAGCTTTTCTTTCCCCAAATAGATTTTGACTAGCAATGTCATAACTTGGTGTATTCTTATTTCACTTATTAGGTGAGTATATTGGGAATCAGTTGTTAATGAATATTAATTTGGGCACTAGTGAGGGCCTTAAAGAATATCCATCTGATGTCATTTTTTTATTTTAGTCTTTATGTTTTTAGTAGCATTCAAATGGTCTATATATGCTATAGAAATTTTTTTGTGAGTGTACATAATGTTTAAAAGTTTGGGGTCGATACGTTTTTTAATGTCTCTTCTGCTCATCAAGGCTGCATTTATTTTATTAAAAATGCAGTAAAAACAGTAATATTGTGGAATATTACAATTAAAAAACGAATATATTGTAAAATGTGATTTATTCCTGTGATGCAAAGCTGAATTTTCAGCATCGTTACTCCAGTCTTCAGTGTCACATGATCGTTCAGAAATCATTCTGTGTTGTTATAACTAATAATTAAATTCAAATAATTAAAACAATTTAAATTAATATTTTTGTGGAAAGGGTGATACAATTTTTCCAAGATTCTTTAATGCATAGAACAAGAGAAAAACAACAACAGCGTTTATTTATTTATTTATTTTTTTTGGTAATCTTTACTGTCCCTTTTGATCAATTTAATATAACCTGGCTAAATGTATTTATTTAAAAAAAAGAAAAAAAGAACTTGCCGACCCAAACTTTTGAACAGTTGTGTATGTAATGTAATAGCAATATAAAATGCATTTTTATGAGGACACTGTAAAACACTCGTTGGACTTCAACTAATAAACTTTTATTTGTTTTTAAATGAAACAGAGCATATCTCAGAAAGAAAGTCACTCTTATTTAATGGATATAAACAAGCCGACTGACACTCAAGAATAGTTGGGGGGGATTACAACACGTACAATAGTAAATATCAGGGAGGTTGAGGACTCGAGAGTAAAGTCCAACAGGGTTTAAAAACATTGAACATGACACAGATTTCACACCGAACACCCCAGTCACGCCTCCCAGGCTCTCGCTCCACTAACTTTCTCCAACACGCACACAACATTCACACCCTGTAACAATCCTATTTGCATACACAGACACAATCATGCAAGCATATCCCACACTCTTTAGCATCTCAGATATGCACCCCGGAAACATGCAAACGCTTTTATTTTGTTGCACGGGCAATCCACTGGCAGTAGGCGGGAAGATGTGGGTGAGGACACACCATTCTCAAACACATTACACCATCATGATGCTAATGCATCTCATCCGTGACGACTGATGCACCATGGGAAAATGAACCCCACGTTCACACGATCATTCAGCATGCTGACACTCACATTGGACTTGTTTGCACTGCTGTACAGAAAAACAAAATTAAACTAATTTCATGTACAAATTTTACAGTCCCAAACTGACATATTCAAAAAAGCATGAACCATAAAAAACATAACATAAATAAATATCTTAAAAAAGTAAAAACCAAAGTTTTTTTTTTTTTTTTTTGAACTATAGTATTTCTTTTCTGGCATTTGTCACAGTGGTTTGTATCATCCAGATATTTGCATTTTTTGACATCATGAAATAAAAGAAACAATGCAACTGGCACACGACAAATATAAATATAAAGACAAATCTTAATTTTTCTTCTCTTTATTTCGGACCTTTGATCAAACCAGGCCCTTAGACATACGTCATATAGTTTTAAAGACCCAACAGGACTGAAACTTCTTTCTTTCTTACATTATTCATAATTTCTCTAGATCTATTAGACCTTTAGTCTAATATAAGTCTTCACCACAGTCCAGAGTTGGCACATAATGTACATAATCATGCATCACCACATAAGTCAACATTTCTCTTTTTTTCTTTGTTCCATATAATATATCTCATCCCAAGGCAGGAGATTACCCTCCTACTTCAAGTATTTAATAATAAAAGGTCCTGAAGGTGGAGGACTGCAATATGTCTCCGAGAAGGTAAAGTCTGACGTCTTTTTTGTCCTCTTGCTTTGCCTAATAATACAATTATAGACTTGCACAACAGACAGACAGACATAAATATTAGAATATAAGATCAAACACTTTTCTGGTGTTTGAAACTGGTCTCAGAAACATCCAAGACGGAGCAGTATTCACACGGTGGACATATTCTGGATCTGTGTTCATCAACCACAACAGTAAAATGTTCAAGAAAGAAACAGGAGCACAGCGACAATGATGTGTTCACGTCATGACCGAATTACCGTGACGTTTCTGACTTCTAACCTACTCATTGCAACATATTCATAACGACCAAAATCTTAACGTTAAAGCAACTCTATGTACGTTTTTTACCTTGAAATATGAGCTTTAAAATCACTCTTATAGTACACTGTCTTCTAAAGGCGAACGGCTTCTGTTACTTTCTACATCTGTTCTGGGAGTAAGTTTGGTGAGAGGGTGTAGAAATTTTTCGAAAAAGGCAGATTGCTTTTTGGCAGCAACAAATGCATGTGTACAGCTATCAACTGAATTCCACTCACTTAACTGTTAACTTGACTCCAAAGTCACAGAAATACACAAAACTACATGCAGTTGCTTTAAATTAGTTTCATGTGATTTCATTACAGCCTTAGTTGCACAATGCATTTTCTTTGTTCCTCAGGATTTAAGCATTGGCATAAAAAATGAATCATTTCTGAGCTCAAAGATGCAAACTTCTTAGAAGAGAATCTTTTAACTGTGGTCATTCTGACACTATGTGAACGCAGCTTGTGGATGGTGTTCCAGAACAGAGATAAGTGAGGTTTCTGGACCTAATGTGAAGGCGCCTGAATATCGAGAACGCGAAATGCAACATGGAAGCACGGACAGGTTGTTTTAACAGTCAGATCTTGGCTATATTTTGTGCTTCACTAAAGTCCTAATGTGAACTTCACAACTACAGACAAAGCAGTGAAATGACACAAGACAATGCAAAACACAACTGTTAACATATCCCAGTCATCTCAATGTAATCTTCCACTTGAAACTACAGTATGTTGATGTTTCTTAAAGAGATAGTCCACCCCAAAATGAAAATTGTAATTTACTCCTCTTGTCATTCCAAACCTGTATGAGTTTCTTTCTTCTGCTAAACACAAACAAGCAAACAGTTTTGGTTCCCTTTGACTTCCATTATATTTTTGACCATACAATGGAAGTCACTGGGAACCGAAACTGATCCACAGAGGAAAGTCAGTTCTACATGTTTGGAACGAAACGAGGGTGAGTAAATGATGACAGAATTTTCATTTTTGGGTGGACTATCCCTTTAGACGCGGTCACAATGACAGCGCTGAAATCCGCTTCAAGTCACCAAAACCCATTGAAAATGAACTACAATTCGCTTTCAGTATGAACACAGCTTAAAGGGATAGTTCACTTTCAGTTGCTGGTCCCCATTGACTTGGATAGTGTTTTTTCCCCCCCATACTATGGAAGTCAATGGGGACCAGCAACTGAAGGTGAACTATCCCTTTAACCCTCAAGTAAGTTTCAGTCCGCTGCGCTGCAAAAGTTTACTTCAGATCTCATTGCTGTTTGATCTTTTTGTGAAGTGCAAAATATTCTATACAACACTTTTTCTAGCTGAAGATCCTGCAAAAGACATTTTTCGTTCTTTTTTTGCATAGACCCCAGTGCCAAGATCTTGTAATGAGAGCACTGTGAGGGCCAAACAGACAATGATAACACACGACTCAAACACACCGAAAAAAATGTTTCCTTTGATTTCACAATAGTCTGACCACAGTAGACACGTTTTATTTAGCTAGTATTTCTCTATCTATATATCTACTATCTATTTATAAATAGGCACTCGCCACCATGTTGAGACGTTACGAGAATTTGGCGGTAGCTCCGCCGGTACATGGTGGGGCGGTTCGTTAAAGGAGAAGGATATTCCCTTTATGGGACGCGCAGGTTTGACTGGCCTTATCAACAGATGTCTTGACAAATTCATCAATGCTACGACCTGCAGCAGTAGCTTGGGAGAACATCTCAATTGTCTTCCGAAAAACTTGCCGCCATGGATGCAGGGAGTGTTACAGATCAGCTGATGTCCAAAATGACCGTAGCCATGGCTGTCTCCATCTCTTTTGGGCCTGAGCACCAGTTGAAGCACCATTAGAAATGTTCCCTGTTGTAAGGGGTGGAGGTGCATAGGTGCATGAGAGCTTACATGCAGACCAGGCTTGGGGTTTGGAGAGGAGCACGAGCAAAAAGAAAGGGCAAATTCTGGTTAGCATGGTGTATGTTATGTGTGTTATAATCTGTGAGACCAATGAACTCTGCATAGAGTAGACTACCTCTGAGGATCAACTGAGGTAACGCTAAAGACGTTACAGATACTACCTCTATAAGGTCCAATATACACTAAAAAACCAACGATGGAGACTAAATGAGGCACAGACATGCATTTCATACTCAAACCGAAGTACATGTATGTATAGCACATATAATAAAACCTAAAGAATCGAAGGCAGGCAACAGTTGCCCTTTAAGATTTAAACTGCATATGCAGATGTGATCGTAAGAAATGGTTAAAAATTAAATTATTAAGATGGCATTATTTTACATTGATTACATAAAAAAACACAAACAGAAATGACCCAGTCTGACATAATCAAGTCTTGAATGGGTGCAGGCTGACTTGTTGCCTCATTGAAGAGGTGGAGCTAGATGAGAGTGGGCGGGGCAATGTTGAGAAGGGGCGGGGCCAGCTGGATGCATGCACTGGTCACACGTCGAAACCAGGCAACAAGGAGCAGCTGCAGTGTCTCATCTAGTGTTGACTGAGCTTGGAGAGTCTTCAAGGCAAATGTCTTTAGAAAAAGAACTGCAACAGAAAGTGACTGTTTTTCTGTTCAGTCCAGACCTCCGCTCCATATATATATATATATTTTTTGTCATCTGAAAAAACTACAACAATAAAATGGAATAATTATCTTTAAGAGAGTGTCATTTAGCATTAATATTACACGCAAGTGCAATTGCTGAATATATAAATGTATCTATATTATATTAATTATATTTATTTCAATTACATTATTAGCAATCTTACTGACCAAAACAGTAGTGTACTGTTTGATATGAAATTTGTAAATTAAAAAATAAAGTGGTAGTACTTCTGTTGATAGTATTTACCTGCTCAGGTGTCATCTCCAGCTTTGGCCCTCCCATTCACACTAATGCTCCGCCTCTTTCCTTAATGCATTGAAATAAGCGGGGCCCCATCCAAAATAATGAATCTGACTGTAGGTAAAGACTGGCCAAGTGAACAATGTAGAATTTCATCTGTATGGCATGGCTGTGCTCCTCCTTTAGTGACTGAATTGTCTGAGAACATAATAAGAAAAACAATCATCCACTTACTGTTTGTTAAATCACGTTTTTCTACAAAATCTAATTTTAAACCAGAAAACTGACATCAGTCATCAAGATCTCACCCCATTAAACAACATCATTGCTTTGGTTTGGAAATAGTTATGCCCAAATTCCTTCTTCATCATCCTTTCAGCCCAAAATACATCCAGATATCCAGAGGTCAGCATGAAATGAGGAGAATTAGATGAGTTAAAGGTATTTAAATTAGGAAATTTAGTGATTGTATTACAGTGAGCAACAGGTAAATTATATAGTAGTCCATTGCCTGCTGAAAAGACCATCCATATATTATAATTTGATTTCAATAAGTGTTGTTACCATTAACTAAAACTATTTAAAATAAAATAAAATGTAAATAATAGAAGAAAAACGTAACCAAAAATAAATGAAAATTAGAAATGTTGCGTTGCAACTACATGAAATACATACAGTAAAATTAACAAATAATATAATTGTATATAAATAATACAAAAATAACACTTATAATATATACTGCACCAATACTTTAGATCCTTGTAATGTTATTTATTAATTTTACAGATAAATTTTTTAAAAACATATTTATTTAATCTTGCCTACTGTTGAATTTCTCAAATTTTATTTGCATTTTCACATGCAAAAACAATGCCAGTGACATCGCTGACTCTTGACACTATATTTTAATACAAAATGTGATTCATATCATGATGTGGCTGGCCATACTCACTATTTTATGCTGGTTAGTGCAGTTTTTTTTTTTTGGTGGGTAAAGGCTGACCAAGTTGGTAGTAAAATGTGGCTAATGTGGATTTGCTGACTAACAATTTTGTGATTAAGCCTGGCAGCCAGGGAATATCCAGCACACCAGCATCCCATAGGGGTAACCAGCATACCAGCAGCCAAAACAAAACATACAACTCACTAATCTGGTCTTTTCAACAGGGTCAAAACAGCCAAACATGCATTGGTATTTTTGGTTAACAGCTTGTAAATAACACAGAAAAAAAGGCCTAATATTACCTTGATGATGCTGAATTCAAAAATATCATTAAAGTGCCCCTATTATGCCATTTCCAAAATTGCCTTTCATGCAGTGTGTAATGTAGCTGTATGTGAATGTAAACGATCAGTAAAGTTTTAAACGAGTCGTTAGTAATTCGAATCCCACTTCCGTGACGGCTACACGTCAGGGGGTAATACATTTGCATAATGCATGCCTATGTTCTACGTTGGCCGGCTGCGAACAACTTGACCCCGCCCACCTACACGTCATTCTACTGACGACTGCTTCTCTAATCTCGGGGAGTTCAACGCGGGATTCACAAAATGCTTGCTGTTGAAAGATGGATCAGTATCCTGTTTATTTGGACCAGCTGCTCCACTGAATCACAACCTGTAAGTATGATAAATCACAGATGTTAATATTTTCTATAGAGGGTTCAAAATTTGTTTCCGACACGCGCTGTATGCCGTAGACCAATCACAACAATTCGAACGAATCGTTTGAGAATCGCTGGAAAATGAGGTGATATTAAATGCATATTTTAAGAAAACGAAAGCGTTTTTTGATCTTGCATGCATGTAATCCTATTGTAGGAGACTCCCAAAACAATATTAGGAACCGTAAAAATTGTATAATAGGGGCACTTTAAAAAAAAAATCTACGTTTTTTTCAAATGTACAGTATATATATAAGCTTTAATGCTCTTATTAAAATAAAAGTGGTAACGTCAAAAGGTTTGGTTTCTTTTTTTCTACAATGACAAAAAGAAGTATTTAAAATGTATCATTTAACTTACAACCTGCAAAGGAGTAGAAATAGTGGAAATCAGGATTAGGCATAAAATAATGTCTTCAGAATCATTCATACGTGTGAAAAACAGTTGAGAATTGAACAAATAGTTGTAACCCGGCTCAGAGGAAAAATGAGACTCATGTCGTTGTGGCAGTTTTTCTGTTGATTAAGTGATAATACAAGACTCCTTTGCCTTACAAATGGTTGTCAAAAGCAAGAATACTACAAAATGCATCAAATTTTGTGAAAAAGTGTGACGTGCTCAAGCAAATCAGGCACCATTTTTGGAATCGGCACCCCAAAATTAGTAATAAACAAGTATTGAATTTCATGTGATGCAGATTAGATAGAAATACTGCAAAGTAGAGACCTGCGCGGGACGGATTTTTCAGTCCTGCTCCCACAGAATTCTGTCAATCTTGTCCCACTCCCGACCGCAACATTCATGTTTTGTCCCACTCCCACCCACAAAAGCCTGCATAAAAGTAGTCTATATAGATTTTTTTCAGTACATCCATGAAATTTACATGAAAGTTCTGTGTCGCCTAGCCACAACATCCCAGCAAAAACGCTCATCAGCATTCACAAACCACTATTATTTTTAACAGAAAAGCAAGCATAGGCTGCTGTGTGCATGGTTTGGCATGGCAGAATGCGCGCAAAGAGCACTCCCTTTATAATCACTAAAAAGCTGACATCTCAGTTCATCGCAGTCTCACAAAGCTGTTATAACACGATGAATAAAAGCACAATGATTCTTTCATAATGTCTACACTTCGTGTGTTAGAATGAGAGGATTCTTGAGCACGCAAATTTCAGCGCTGCACAAAACTCCGGCGTTTTGAGCGGTGAATAGATTCTAACTTAAACAACTCTGATTGACCATTGCGTTCCAGAAATCAACAGATATGTCTGTGATTAGCGTGTTATAAATAGAAACTCTGCCTATGCTTGCGCTTGTTAATCATTTTTATTTTATATTAGTTGTTCTTGTTGCTTTTTGTGCAATAAATGAATAATAATTTATTTGATTTTAGATATTTATATTTTGCGGGAATCCCGCGAATCCTTTTGTTCTCCCGCATCCCGCATACACACGGGTGTCTACCCGCCCGCATAAGGAAGAAAAATAATGCCATATGTCTTCGAAACAAATTTTTCAAAGACATATGGCATTCTGAACATTCAACAAAGACATTCTGAAATTTAACATAGTTGTTTATTTAAGCTGCGAATATTTCAACTCAAAATATTTCACACACATTTTCATAATTAAAAATTCAATAATTCATATTCACCTTCCAGAATTCACTTCCAAAATATTCAATCTGTTTAAAAATACGATGCATAATATTCGACAGACAAATTTCAGTCCATTTTCCAAATTCGCTTCCACAAATTCAGTGGTTAAAATTTGACAGAAAATTTGTCTTTGCACATCCGGGAGCTGCAGGAATAGCAGTAGAGCACCGATGCATGATCTCCAGCTGCTGTCAGTCGCTCACCAGCAGGTGGCGCAAGCGGCTGTTGATGAAGACCAAAGCAACCGGTGGATTGAGTCATTCATTCACAAAAACTGATCTGCAGAAATGGAGCAAGCGCTGAGTAGAAATTTTGATTATCGGGGCCAGTATAAAACATGTGGAAAAGCTGATTGTGTGTATGTTTAATTCAACATCTTTGCTGTTTCCCGTAGCCTACATGTAAGCAGCTTTCTCTACCACAAAGGAGATTATAATGCTGTTTTACTCGACGCTGAAGTACAGAACTAACATTACATCTGAGGAAGACATATATTGCTTTCAGTTGCTTAGTTTCTGTAACTTTGTATCATGGCTTGTGGGACGCTGCTGTAATACTGGGGTTCCCCTCATACAGTATACATCACACCCCAGGATTGAGTGATAAGACCTCAGATCTCAGAATACACTTTATTGATGATTATGCGAACTATATACAGGCAAGCAAATGAGGTCAGAAGAACGCAACACACCCCACTTTCTTTATAATTTCTTTCCCTTACCACTGATCTATTGAGTCAACAGTCATACAATAATAATAATAATTTCATAATTAATAATTTATGCATTTAGCATGCGCTTCTATCCAAAGCGACTTACAGTGCATTCAGGCCAGGGACTCGCGCTAACTGGACCCTTTACCGTCCGCTTTTTTATTTTACAAAATCAGTTTGGGTGAATGCAAACAACTTATTGATCATGAGCCCAACATCCAGCACGGCAAGAAAACATTTAATCTACCTGAGGGAAGACGTCTTTCATTGTAAGTTAATGCTGTTAAATAAAGAGGAAAAAAAATGCATTACAAAAAAAGATTATAATAAAATAAAATAAATACTTCTTGCGTAGGCTATTCTTAAACTTGGACCTCATTATTGAAGTAAAAATCCAAGCACCAGAAGCAGCCCACACTCTCTTAAGTTTTCTTCAATTGAAAAATATGCATTTTCATTCATTCAAAGGCTATAGTTGCAATAATATTTTAGATCAAAACATTAAGTGCCATTGTTTAAAAAAAAATACTTGATTGACTGACGTTTCATAGACCTTCAGTTGTTAGATTTTCAAATTTCATGCCGTTTGTAATTTCACAGTATTTACACCTCCTCAGTTACACGTGTGAAGTCACAATTCTATAATGGTACAATTTAATGTAAAGAACTTTTTAACCGCAGGCAGACTGAGGCCTACATTATGGTACAGTACAAATATTTGGAACGTCCCTTATTCTGTCCCTTATTATCTTAAAGAATAAACACTATTTTCTTAAAGAATAAGATAAAGAATCACAATTGTCCCTTATTTTCCATTTCTTATGTTAATTGGCAATGATGACGTAATTACCTTTTGACTCCACTGACAGCAGAACCTTGCTCAAAAAAAAAAGTCATTGTTGGAGATATGCGAGCAAAAAATTATAGATTCTGTCCCTTATTATCTTAAAGAATAAACACTATTTTCTTAAAGAATAAGATAAAGAATCACAATTGTCCCTTATTTTCCATTTCTTATGTTAATTGGCAATGATGACGTAATTACCTTTTGACTCCACTGACAGCAGAACCTTGCTCAAAAAAAAAAGTCATTGTTGGAGATATGCGAGCAAAAAATTATAGATAAAAAAATTATAATAGAAAGCGCAAAGGCACTGAAAAGGCCAGTAAAAAAAAAAAAAGTGGGCCGGTCTAAGGCATGAAACTCCAGGGCTGAAAATGAGTCCCACTCCGGCCCTGATTCAGGCTATACATTTTTTATGTACAATAAAACATACAAAGATATCAACACCACGATTAGTTTTAACAATATGCAACCACATTATATTGACATAAAAATAGGAATTCAAATCAAATTTAAACCGGAGAAAGCATTGATGCGCTATCGCACCCAAAGAACCGTCTGACAATTCCACCGACTGGGTTAAAACGTCCAATGTATTTTAATTAAAATAACTTTTAACATTTTAAATAACACACTGTCAAATTGTAAAGCTCGTATTGCTCATAGTGATTTACTACTGGTGAGATTTTGCCAATACCTCCCTTCATATATGTACAGTACACAATTATTTACATATAAAAGATCCCTGGAAAAGGTTTTTTTCATGTTTCAACGGTTGTAGTACGTTGCTAGATACAAGACTAACTTACTACAGGTTAGATTTTGCCAATATCTTCCTTATGGTATGTACAGTATACAAATATATTTTTAAAAAACTACAGTAATTCACCAAGTTTTTTTTTTTTTTATGTTCCACAGGTTGTAGTACGTTGCTAGTTACAAGACTGACTTACTTCATGTGAAATTTTGCCAGTATCTCCCTTACTGTATGTACCATTAACAATTATTTAAAAAAAAAAATAATAATAATCTGTAAGACCCCAAAAGGGATTTTTCATGTTCCAAAAGTTGTAGTATAAAATACTGATGTACTTTATGTACAATAAGGGAGGTATTAGCAAAATTTCACCTATAGTAAGTCAGTCTAGTCACTAGAAATGTACTACAACATTTGGAACACGAAAAAAACCATTTTGTTGAATTACTGTAATATTTTTCTTAAAACAATATTTGTGTAGTGTACATAGGGAAAGTATTGTCTAAGGCGAGTTATTGGCAATATATATTTAGTCAGTTTGAGTAAATGATTCATTTACTGTAAACATTAATTTGACTAAATTATTGGACTCATTTTGTACTGTGAGGTAAATTTGCAGACGGTCCCTAAATCAGCCTAGAGGCAAGTTCGGTCCTAGAGAGTTCAGCTCCAACCCTGAAAAAAAAAACTCACCTGCCTATAGACTTAGTAATCCCGAAGACATTGATTAGCTTGTTCAGGTGTGTTTGATTAGGGTTGGAGCTGAACTCTGCAGGACTGCGGCTCTCTAGGACCGAACTTGCCTACCCCTGGCCTAGGCGAATATGCAGCGAATATCAAACCTAAAACTACCACACTTGGCTTTCTATGGGTGGTTTGGTGAAACTTTGTGGGTTGTGGGCTTATATTCTGGGTTCATCTGCTTAAATGTACATAATATACAGTAATATATATTATTAATTAGGTGCCGAATTTAATCATTTATTATCATTGTCTTGAGGCAATACACCAGGTTAAATGTTTTCTTTATGGGAAATGTTTAACGTGCAGTTTTGCGTGTTCCGTAACTTGCGTTCATATCCTCCTCTGCCTGTTTATAGTTTCAGTTTATAGTTTCATCTGTTTACAGATCAGTAAGATCTGAGTTTGGTCTTTTAATAGCTGTCATTGTCAGCTTTTCCACATGTTTTATACTGGCCCCGAAAATCAAAACTTCTACTTATGCCGAGTTCACACTGCACGATTTTCAAACGTCGGATCGTCGTTGTTTTCACACTGGGTGACTATCTGGGGTAGCATTCAGTTGCTTCTGTGTTCACACTGCACGATGGATCGGCGACAGGAGGTTTCACACTGCATGACTTCACAATAGGAAGAATCGCAAACAGCTCTGTCTGGTCCGCAAACTACATTTCACAACAAAACACATGCGAGAAGTGATAAAGAAATAACGCGAGAACCTGCGTGCGTCAGACCGGAGTTCTCGAGCAAGACTGTAATTATTAAAAAAATATATACTGTATATAGCCCGCAAATTGTCTGTGAGCTGATTTCCAGCTACAAGGAGAAAAAGAAAAACAGATTATGCAGGAGGGAGATGCAGGGAACAGGGATTGGGTGTTCTGTAAAGAGAGTTGGAGGTAAATAATTTCGCAGTAACTGTTATGCTGATGTTGTGGCTGGTCAAGCAAATGTTTGTGCTTGTTTCTGTATGATATAATTGTTCATATATCTATTAAAATACTGATATTCTGGTCTATAATTCCTCCCCGAACTTCCCTCTGCCCTGTATCTTGGTCTCTCATTGGCTGTAGGTCATCGCCGATGTAGTTTTCAGTCAGAACTCATTGCACACAGCGTGATTGTGAATCGCCGACAGCTCCAGATATTTAGCATGCCAAATATTTTGCGGGCGGCGGCGACGTGTCAGCGATTCCCTCAGATCGCGTCTTTGATAATTCACACTGCGTGATTGTCACTCGCGGATTCCTGCAGCTCCCGGATGTGCAAAGGCGAATTTTCTGTCAAATTTTAACCACTGAATTTGTGGAAGCGAATTTGGAAAGTGAAATAAAATGGACCGAATTTTGCCTGTCGAATATTATACATCGTATTTTTAAACAGATTGAATATTTTGGAAGTGAATTCTAGAAGGTGAATATGAATTTCTGAATTTTTAATTATGAAAATGTGTGTGAAATATTTTGAGTTGAAATAATCACAGCTTAAATAAACAACTATGTTAAATTTCAGGACCTAAAAATGCAAGCCCTGGAAATACAAGGCATTAAAATGCAAGCACTGTTAATGCAATGCATTATTTTTTCAGTTAGTGCTATTCAACGTTTTTTTTTGTTTCAAAGACATATGGCATTATTTTTCTTCCATATCCGCACCCGCACTCGCCCATCAAGTCTTGTCTTGTGCCGCACTCTGTTGTGTAGGGTCCCGCGGGTCTCGCGGTAATCCCGCGGGAGTGCAGGCCTCTACTGCAAAGGTTATGGAAACAGTCATATGATGAACAGCAGGAAGTAGGAAAAACAAATATACACTAATTTAGCTTATTAGATAGATTAGAATAGGTGCAGACACAAACTTTGTAGTATAGTCAAGTTAACATACAAACCTGGTCTGGGGCAGATCGGTGTCCGGGATGAGGTGGTCCACGGCCTGGACCCCGATGGTGTGGTGGTGGATGTCGAGGGTGTGGGCCCTGCAGGCCGGGGTGCGGGGGGTGATGGGGGTGCTGCTGCGGGTGCTGCTGCGGGTGCTGCTGCGGGTGCTGCTGTGGGTGTGGCATGGGCTGAGGGTGGGGGCCCTGCTGAGGCGAAGGTCCATGGGGGTGCTGCTGCGGAGGGATCCCGGGATGAGGGTGTTGAGGGTGGGATGGTTGGGGTCTAGGTGGGTGCTGGTGTGGGCCTGGCTGTTGAGGGTGCTGGGGGTGTTGCGGGTGGGGGTATTGAGGCTGGGGCGGCTGTTGTGGGTGCTGCGGGTGTTGAGGGTGGTGGGGGGGAGGCTGTGGGTGTTGGGGATGGGGCGAGTGTGGGTAAGGAAGCTGGTGGGGGTGTTGGGGCTGTGGGTACGGCGGCTGGGGTTGGGGTTGAGGATGATGGGGTGGGGGTTGCATGTGGGGAGGTGGAGCGTGAGGGTGAAAATGGTCGTCCTCGTAGTTGTCGGCGATCAATTTCATCCTGCTCTGTGTCTAAATGGATAAAAAGAAGACACAAGCAGCATATTTTTGATATAGATTCTCAGATGTTCACAGAATGGAAAAAGAAATCTCTAAATGGCTTCTACAAATGTAATCAGTTTGCTTTTACTCAATGTTCAGGAGTCAATGAATCATAGACCGCCAGAAAACAAAGCTGAGTTTACAAGGTATCAGGTGGCTACAGAAGATTTTCTAATACTTTCTTTGACTTATTCCCTGATAGTTGCAAGTTGATATGGCCAGATTTTGGGAAAAACATCTCTCTGAATATAAAAAAAGAGATGCACAATACTGAATATCAGTTAAATTTTGTTCAGTTTATTGGCTGATATTGAATATTTAATTTTTACTGAAATTGTGATATTTAGTTTTTCTGCAATATACAGTATATAGATTTTAAAAATGACAAGATGGTGCCGGTGTGTTTGGCTGGCCGTCTGGTACCTGGTCTGTTTGTTTTTGTTTTGTTTGTCTCACTTCTGGCCCAAAACGCCACCGCTGTCTTGGTTTATGAGAGTCTTATATGCTCATTAACATCAGAAACACTGTGGATATACAGTTTGAGCAAGAACTTGGAGGACCGTGCTTACACCTTCCTCCAGTCCTGTCTGATGTGCTGCCGGCTTCCCTGCCCCCTTCTGCCGAAAAGCGTTGAAGAAGACGTGGAAAATAAGGCGAGCTTTAAAGTCAAAGTACTTTTCTGATATTATTAATAAATAACTGTCATAGGCCTAGAGTATTGTTTAATACTATAAATTCTGTTATTAACCCACCAAACAGCATTGGGCCTGAGATTTTAGTGGAGGCATGTGAGAATTTTATGAGTTTTTTTGTTAAAGATCGAAAACATTACATCTCAAATACCTCCTGTAGCTGGTCGATCCCCCTGCTCTTCCTTGTTGCCCTGTTGTGTTTGATCAGTTCGAACTTCTTCAACTCTCTGCCTTGGCTAAAATAGTTGATCAATTGAGGCCATCGGATTCCCCTCTTGATATTGTCCCATCAAGACTGATCAAACAAACTTTTAATGTAGTTGGGCCTAGTGTTTTATCGATAGTAAATAGCTGCCTTGCATCTGGGACTCTTCCTGACTTTTTAAAGCATGCTGTAGTACAACCTTTAATTAAAAACACTAATAAGGCTGATGATACACGGGGCAATGTGTATCATCAGCCTAAGTTGGATCCAACAGGTTATTCAAATTACAGGCTTATTTCAAAATTACCTTTTCTCTCGAAAGTGCTGGAGAAAGCTGTTCTTATTCAGCTGCAGTCTTTTTCGAATAGGATTTCTTTATTTGAAGTATTCCAGTCTGGGTTTAGGGAGCATCATAGTGCAGAGTCTGCACTTTTGAAAGTTCTCAACAATGTTTTGCTAATTGTAGACTCTGGTGATGCTGCAGTTTTGGTGTTAATAGACCTTACTGCAGCCTTTGACACCACAGTCCATGAAATTCTTATTGCACAACTTGATAGGGATTGATAGGGATTCGTGGCACTGTTTTAAACTGGTTTAAGTCCTATCTAAACAATAGGAGCTTTTCAGTTACCCTGGGTGAATTTACATCATCGTCGGCCTCTCTTATATGTGGGATCCCTCAGGGATCCATTTTGGGACTCATTTTAATTTTATTGTACATGCTTCCAATTGGGTCTATTTTTAGTAAACACGGAATATCGTTTCATTGTTATGACGATGATAAACAAATAAATGTACCAGTAAAAAAGGAAGGCAACTCCTTAGGGCGTCTTCTTGCATGCTTAAAGGACTTGAAAACATGGTTGGCTGTGAATTTTCTGCACCTAAATGAATGTAAAACTGAGACTATTGTTTTTGCACCTTCCAATGTATCTGGGTCCACTAATATTGATTTAGGCACTTTATCTATTTATGGTAAATCCATGGTAAAATGTAGGTGTAATTTTGGATAACGACTTGAAATTTGACAAACAGATTATTGGTCTTGTCTGATCAGGGTTTTTTTTTTCAATGAAGAACATTGGCAAAGGTCAAGCCATTTTTATCCTTTTGTGATTATGAAAGGGTGATGTATGCTTCTCACCTGGGCAACTGTAATTCCCGGTATGTAGGGATTAGTCAGTCTACGTTGTGAAGATTACAGATTGTCCAGAATGCTGCTGCTAGATTGTTGACAGGTTCTCGGAAACGGGACCATATTACTCCCATTTTGTCATCTTTACATTGGTTACCGGTCCATTATAGGATTGATTTTAAAATTCTGCTGTTTGTTTTTAAATATATAAACGGCCTTGCACCATACTATCTTTCTGATTTGTTACAACCTTACTCATCATCAAGATCACTCAGGTCCTCTGATCAGAAACTCCTGATTGTTCCTAGGTCGAGACGTAAACTGTGGGGGGACCGTGCATTTGCAGTGTCTGCCCCAAAGCTTTTGAACAGTTTGCCTTGGCACATAAGAACTGCCTCCACATTTGTCTCATCTAAGTCTCTTTTAAAGACTCATCTCTTCTCCCAGGCTTTTCTGCAGAATACTGCTCAGTGATTTGTTGTTGGAACCTCATTGTTTTTTATGTTGAATGGTTTGACGTTCATGCTGTATAAACAGATGTGTGTTTTGTTTGTTTATGTATGTTTAAGAATCTGTACAGCACATTGGTCAACTTACTGTTATAGCCATATCTTAATATATATTACAACCCTACTATATATTTCCTTTAGCAGTTTTCAAAATTAATATGTATCCATATTTCATTCAGTACAATTTAATGGTGTGAGGCAACATACAAACTATTAATTTGAATTTTTAGTGTTTTATGTCCTTTTTAAACTGAAATCATACAGATCTACAGATCTAAGATTGTCCATTTAACATATACTGACCACAAGATAATAATTATCGACTTTCAACATGTCATCCCTATGAAAAATTAATGATATCTTCATTCTACAATATCTTAATACTAGGTGTAATTAAATGGGTTTCTGAGTAAAGAAATGGACTGACCTGTTGTTTGAGCTGATGCATCAGTCTGTCTTTCTCTCGTTTCAGGGCCAGCACCTCCTCTTGTGTCTTCTTCTTATTGGAGGAGGACAGCTCTAGCAAAGCGATGTTAGCATCCTTCTCACTGATAGCAGCGAGCAGAGCCTGTTGTCTGAGGGGACAGACAGTCTGAGATATGTATGCAAGTACACTGAGCAGCTTTCAAGGAAAGGAACACAAAGACATCACAGGGATCAAATAATGAAGGTTGTGTTGTATGAAGGAACAGAGTCTAATCGCAAAGATTCTTACTTCATCTCCAAGATTTCCTCGAGCTGTTTTCTGCGCTCCTGTCGGAGGTTGGTCAGATGGCCGTCTCTCTCAGCCAGAGACTGTTGGGTGGAGGACAGACGCTGCTTAGTGGCATCCAACTCCTGCCTTGTCTTTTCCAAAACATTCATCAGCTCCTCCATCTGTGAAATAAAGCAAAATGTGTGCAAGATGATAAAGAGAAAACCTTTTGTTTTTCTTGTTTTCTCTTTATTTAAGTAGACATTTAAAGCCATCAAATAAAATAAAAAAAACACAAACCTTTGGATTGTCCATTGGATTATCCTTGCGTTGATCTTGCAAGATATTCCCAGGTCCTTTCTTGTCCATCTGAGGACCAAGCTTGATGACTGGGCCCTTTTTATTTTGATCCTTGGTTTGCCTTAGAAAACATACAGAGTTTCACCTGAATATCTGAATTTGATAGCAATCGCATAACCCTATTTAACCAAACGAACCCAATTAATTATCATATCACATTTTTGTCCTGTTTTCCAGTACAAATCTCTCTAACACTTTACTTAAAGCCGTTTATAATGCATTTTAACTTTGGTCACAACGTACATTATGAATACCTTATAATATACTTATAATGTACATTATGAATACCCTATAATGCATTATACATAAAGGCTTTAAGTAAAGTGTTACCCAAATATCTTTCTAAAATGAAGATACATAAGTAGCAAATTCCGTGAGTTATTAAATGTATAGTTCACCCAAAAATCAAAAATTCTGGCATTATTTACTCACCCTCATGTCCTTCCAAACTTGTATTCATTTTTCATCTGTGGAATACAAATAAAGAGAGTTTGAAGAATGTGGGCAACCAAACCGTTTTGTTTCCCATTGACTTCAATTTTATTTTTTTTCCATATAATGGAAGTCAATGGGAACCAAAGCGGTTTGTTTACCAACATTCTTCAAAATATCTCGTTATATGTTCCACAGAACAAAGAAAGTCGTACAGGTTTGGAACGAGGTTTGGTTGCGAAAATGATGATAGAATATAAATATTTTGGGTGGACTATCCCTTGAAGAGTTGCTATTTGAAAAAAAAAAAGAGCAGCAATATTAAGTTAATTTATACTTAAAACAAGAAAAAATATCTGGAGTAAGAAAAATAAACTAACTCAAAGCGAAAACATATTTATTTTTCTTACCCCATTGGCAGATTCTTTTTTTTTTTTTATCTCATTTCAAGTCACTTGATTTTGATTTTTTTTTTCCAGACAACATGACTTTATGTGTCATTTTGCTTCTCAAGTAAATGTTTCTTGATTTAAGAATGTTTTGGAAAGTTATACTGGAAAAATTGTATGAGATTTCAATGCATCCACTCAAAAGTCATAATTTGTTTGCAAAAGCCAGTTTGTTTTCATTATATAATGTAATGATATTTTGAGTGTGTTTTAAGTGTCCAAATACAATTTTGGGGTCACTGTATGTGTGATTATTAAGTGCAAATAACAACACAACACAGCACAACACAACATCACCATGAAATATGACTCATAACTTTGACAACAACACACGATGCAAATGTGAGGAAAAATACAGTTATTTTTCTAACATCACACGAACAAAACACGCTTGGTTATTGCTCAGAAGGGAGGGTGAACACCTGAGGAACAACCAACTTACCTGGGCGCAAGACTGACGGTGGAGAAAGAGGAGGGATACAGGAAGGGCAGGAACGGGAAGGAAGAGAAGCCGCAACACAGCAAACAGGAAGGAAAGGAGAAATAAAACTTTAGAATTCATCAAAACGAAGAAGCAGAAAACAGCTGGAAAGAGTCAAATGAGAAACTAGGAGTGGTTTAGAACGGCTCCTGAGGTCAGCAAGGCAGGATGCACGACACTATCATCTCAAATCATCACCGTCAGTGGATACGCCACTGAGTCCAGATCTGCAGGGGCCCGTGAGAGTGCCAACATGCAGCAACCCAACCAGCTGAGCCGCAGTGAGAGATCGCACAGGGTGGCAAACAGGGCAAGAGCGCTCAGGCATGAGGGTGCAAACCTACTTGAGGAATACTAGACCCTACCTAAAGCACCCAGCTCATTCACAGAGCAAAACAGGGCCTGAAATGCTGCAGAACGTCTCATGCAGGCCGATGAGACGGCCGTTTTGAGGGGATTTCGCAGGCTGAGGTGGGAGGGGATGGAGAGGATCATTCAGAAGAGTGAGAGGGAAGGGAGGAGAGATTGTGTTAGGAAGCAGAAAGATGACCTGTGAAATGAGTGTTCAAGGGTCAGGAAAAAGGGCTCTGCTCATTTTCAGAGCCCTCGTATGCCAGCAACACCAAGCGGCAAGCACAGAGATCACTGAAGCGTTTGTGTGCAAAGTAGAGTAACAACTGCAGAACAAGTTAACATGTCATTTAAGCAGGGTGGAATAAAATACACCAAGATTCCTAAAAATAGCATTAGTTAGATCTAAGTGAAAACCCCTGTATTATTTAAAGTATAATTTTAAGAATAGTTCACCTAAAAATGAAAATAATGTCGTCATTTACTCACCCGTGTGTAGTTTTGGACATGCATGATTTTCTTTCTTCAATAGAGCACACAGGAGGTGTGATTTATTGTTTTTTAGTAAATATTGACTTAAATATAATAAAATACTTAAATCCATTGTATAACTTGAGAAGACTTGGAATATAATGCACAAGCTATACATACAAACTATTTATATTACATTTCAGTGTTGACTTTTTGTCATTTTTTGGAGTTCAACAGGATTCGTTCTCATTCACTTTCTGACAGAATATTCTGTCCAAAGGCCCCTTCACACCAACAACAAAGAAAAAAATGATAACAATATTAGCATCCACACCAACAGATGATAATGTTGTGTTTATAATAAGCATGCGCTGCAGTTTTGTTGTCTGCCACTTTAAATGCTCGAGTTCTTTAAAGCAGGATGGATTCTGATTGGCTGTCAGTGATTTTAATCATTCACCAATTTGACAAAAATCATTCTGAAAGTGATTCCAACTATATTTTTCCTCTGTGTCGTTATCGTTACAGCTGTGGTGTGAACCTCCCTATTCTCATAAAAGCAGAATGATTATTAAAACTTTATTTTATAGTTACTGTCGTTGGTATGAACAGCCCTCAACTTCTTCTTTTGTATTTCATGGAAGAAAGAAAATCAGCCTGATGACATGAGGGTGAGTAATTAATGACAGAATTTTTATTTTTTAGGTGAATGATCCCTTTAATCTTGGTGTAATTTTAGAGAATGACTACACATCTACATGTTGCCATGCCAACATCAACACGACAGATATTTTCAGTGTGCAGTTATCACACATATGACACTATGTGAAAGAAAATTATTGTGCTGAAACTGAGGAACCATTTCGATTAAAACTGAGATTTTTCACATTCTATATTTACTATACCGAAAACAAAAAAAATTATAAAAAATAAAAAATCTTATAGAACATATATAATCATAAAAGGAAAACTTGCACTCAGGTTGATGTACACATTAGCACAGTTCCAAAGCCTAGTGAGCTTCCTACCTACAGGCAACATAGTTTAGGCACCACCACCAAAAGGAAGTCTGCAGACAGCAATATATAAGATATGTAGTCATGGCCAAAATCTAAGGTAGCATTAAATGTATTCTTCTGCAAGATTGGGGTTCTGCAAGATTTTTTTAATGTTTATGGAAAAAATCTCTTATGCTCACTAAGGCTGCATTTATTTGATCAAAAATTCAGTAAACGGTATACTGTGAAAAATGTAATTTTTATTTGAATATGTTATAAAAATGTAATTAATTCCTGTGATGGTAAAGCTGATTTTTTTTTTTGTCAGTGTCACATGATCCTGATTTGCTGCTCAAGAAACAACATTATTACTAATGCGGAAATAAGCTGCTTATTATTTTTGAGAAAACTGTGATACATTTTTTTTCTGTATTTTTTGGATCAATGGAAAGTTCAAAAGAACAGCATTTATTTGAAATAGAAATCTTCTGTAACTTTTTAAATGTCTTTACTGTCACTCTTGGCCAATTTAATGCATCCTTGCTGAATAAAACTTTATTAAAACTATTTATTAAAACTAAATGAAAACTACTGACCCAAACTTTTGAACTTTTTTTATATACAGCAACCCCAGAATGTACTGCAACAAGATCAAAATGGTAAATGAGGGAAATTTTATAATTTAATTTTATAATCATATTTTATTGAATACTTTTTCAAATACACTTAGTTAATATTTCTATTGAGTTATTAGCTTAGCAACATGCAGCATCAGACTCTCTTGAAATCAAATGTTAGGTTCCTTGAGCGCTGTTTTTTTAATGACTGAATTGCTGCCCACTAAGAAACTTTTTCATAATTTTTTAATCACCCACTTATGAGGCTCCATCTTGGTTAGGATGATGCCTATGTAGACATTAAACAGCGAGGCATCTCACTAGGTTTTGGAAGAGAGCCCCACACATGCACAAGAAACAGCAAACACAACCACAAAACACATGATACACACATATTATTTTCTGAACTGTCTCAGTCCATGGATTTTTACATCAATGCAATCTGGCACATATTTCCCACATTATAAAGAACAAAATAATGTATTTCTTGGTAAGAAAAACCAGTGAATGAGAGACAACCGTGCAACAGGGGCATCAAGGCATCAATCAAGCACACAACAGTTGCAGTTGCAGACAAATACATGCAGCCGAGCCGTGGTGCCAGGACAGAGCACTCACTTTCCCAGGAAGTCCCACACCATGCCCCCAATCTGCTGGGGGGCAGCGGACACAGAGGGGGGAGGGTCAGAGGGGGCTCTGCCACCAGGGCGGGGCGTGGGGCGGGCAGCGGTGTGAGGGGGACTGGGCCACAGTGAAGGGGGTATGAGTTATGAAGTTATGGATGGAGGTAACGCGAAGGAAGATGGCAGACAGACAGACAGACAGACAGACAGACAGACAGAGATGTTGAATTTCCATTGGTTAAATACAGAAATTGAGGAACCAATGAAAGAAATGCAGAGGAAATGCAGGATAGGAAAAACATGAGGATGGACAAGAAATTTTAAACAAGAAATTAGTGTTTTATGACAGAAGATGAAGGAACACGGAAGAACAGGAGGAAGAGAAGGAGGTCGGAAAAAGAGAAAGACCAACAGACAGAACAGAGAAAGAGTTGGCGAGACGGTAAAAAAACAGAACAGAAACACACATGGTTAATTAAACCACATTAACACTAAAGCATGAGCATGTCAACCGAGAAAAAGCAACGAGACTTTGAGCGAGAGCTGGAGAACCTACGAGGAACTGAACTTAATGTTCGATGCTCTATTTTAAGGAAAAAGTGTATATAAAATGCAAACTGCAGCACTGCATAATGCATGATAAATGCATAAATCAAACTCACTTGGAATGCTGATAATTTCTACTATGGCTTGTCGATGTTTTGCATTATATATATTATATATAGAGAGAATTAGAAATTAGACATATTTAGTATTATCCACTAATTGTATTACTGCTTATTTGCATTAAATTTAACCTTTCATGACTTTGTTGTGTCATATCTCAATCAATTACAGTCACTTTGAAATTGCTGTTAGTGTGAACGCCCATTTCAGATGATGTACAACCCGAACATATATGACTAGCATGGACCTGATATCTTAGATGAACTACTCAACAACTAAACATAAGAATTTAGAAGAAGAGTAAAGAGATATGAAGGCAGTTGTATGTGAACATGCCAAAACGCACACAGATCTGTCGGGAATAGCAGACATCACGGCGCATGAAGAGAAGGCATTTCACAACCACTAATCACGAGCTCAATATCAATATTCAGAACATGTCAGAAACACACAGAATACTGATGATCTCATGAATGCATGATTTCAGGAAACAGCATAAATATTTGCAATCATCATCATATTTCATCTCTAGGAGATGACCAGCTCTGAGAGTGCAGCATGGTTTGTACAGCCTCAGTAACAAAACAGCCCTTGACATCAGCATTTTGATGTTATACCCCAGCAGAATTTGATATTAAGTACAGTAGAAACTGTCAACCGATGCTGTCAAAGCCCGAGATAACAGCAAAACGAGAGATCAGTCCTGATGCTGTATTATGAAACTCATGCAGGCATCAGAAATCATTTTCAGCTCGTTAAATTGTATAAAATTAACCTGAATTCCAATATTTACGCTACAAAGGAATGTTTGGACATGTTTATTCATTGTCTATTAATACTACTTTTAACATTTTAGAAAAACATTAAAATAACACAAATGTAAGTATGTAAAAAAAAAAAGTTTTATCCCGTGTCGGAAACACTATCACACTACATGGCCAAAATCATTTGTTAAAATTTTTTTTATTAATTAAATATTTTATTTTGTAAAGAAATGCTTGCATAATTATCTGGCCAAACTCATTTAATTATTATTATTATTTTTTTTTTACTTTTTTTAAAAATAACTATGCATTTATTGTATTGTACTGTATGCACATATGTATGCATTACATGCATTAAATACAATTATTTTGTAATGTATTCATACAGCATATACTACAATAAATGTACAGTCACAAATTATTTTTTTTTTATTAATTAAATATTTTATTTTGTAAAGAAATGCTTGCATAATTATCTGGCCAAACTCATTTAATTATTATTATTATTTTTTTTTTACTTTTTTTTAAAAATAACTATGCATTTATTGTATTGTACTGTATGCACATATGTATGCATTACATGCATTAAATACAATTATTTTGTAATGTATTCATACAGCATATACTACAATAAATGTACAGTCACAAATTATGTTTTTCTACAAAACTAATTTCAAGTATTTAAGTATACGTATTAGATCAAAGGCTTTTCAAAATCATACAAATTCATACGAAAAAAAACTTTAACTGGTAGTGTCAATGTGATTTGAATGCTCAACATCACACTTCCAAAAGCATTTAGAAAGTAAACAAGTGGCTTTTTCTCACCTTTCCAGTTCTGCGATCTTCTTATCCTTGTCATTTTTCTCCGTCTCCACCTCACTCAGAATCTCCAGTAACCTCTCGACCTCGACCTGGGATTTGCTGGACTCATCTTTGTAGAAAGACACCTCCTTTTCCAGAAGTTTGACCCGGTCCACATACTCAGGGTTCCCTCGTGAGCTTTGCTGCACCTCCACTTCATGAGCCTTCTGTATGAGGATCATTGGAAGGCATCACCATAGAAACCAGTTAAAATCAATTCATGAAGAAACATTCCCAGTTCTATAACCAACACATACAGCAGTATTGCAGACTAGAGGGCTCTTTGGCTCCACAAAGCAGATAATTAGCCAAGCTTTAAATGCATAAATCCCGAAGATTAAATGTACTTATTTGGCTTGTTGCAGTTAAAACTAAATATAGGAAATCATGTCATACTGTAAAACTGAGGAAACTGCAGTTATGCATAATTTTCTTTGCAATATTCAAATGCAGCCTTGCTTCATTATTAAAACACTGTAAGCACTCTGAAACACAACATACATCTGCAAGTTGAAAATGAATGCACAATGGATCACACACACAACACAAAATTTAAGAAAGCGATATAACATGATAATAATGTGGTCATAAACCCAAAAGTTGCAACAGATCAAAGCTGACACACCAGATTCTCAAAATGTTCACATAACATGAGAGGAATTAAACTCACAAGACAGGAACATGCAATGCAACATGCAAATGTGGATTTTAGCTCCATGGTTCAGTGGTAAGGTTCTTTGCAATGCGTTTGCCTTCAGACATATGCGTGTTCAATTATCTGGGTATTAATTTCAAGGAAACATTGGAAGCATGAGGAAACAATACAGTTTTTCAACATTTCACAGAATGCCCTTGAATCCCAATGAGTTCTGTTTTAATCCTGTTGGTTTCGTCTCATTGTTGTCACTACGTACAGTTTATGTGATAAAAACAATAAATTAATATAATGGATATTAAACAGGATGCACATGCAAGATGCTGAAAAGATCTGTATTGCACCAGAACTATGGATGAATTTAAAAAATAAAATAATAAAATAAAATAATTAATACTCAAATTTAATTTTTGTAATGCACAATTTACTATACATTAAATGATTTACATGCCTCTATATGCAAGACCCCAAATAACCTGCAACTGCAAAAACCTCCAAAAATAACCAGACGTCCAGATATTTGTACGTGACATTTCACATAATTATGAAAAGCTGTACCTACCTAATATACATATTATATAGGCAGCAGGGGTTGAATTATTTGCAGACCTTTACAAGTTAATGGTAAAGAAAGAAACTAAGAGTATAGTGTCCTCATGTTTTCAATGTGTGCTAGTATACAGATCCAGAGAGACACTTACGGGATTGTTCATTTGACTGAACAGCTGCTCTGCTTGCTACATTGCAAAGGAGGGAATCATGGGATATGAGGAAGAGGAGGAGGATGAAGGGACTCAGTAAAACAGCACAAGCTTTATCATTAGCTCTTCTTTCAGGATAATGATAATGTTCTTCACAGGAGAATATAAATAACCAGAGAGCAACACAAGAACAAAACGAAGCTGACTGAGTGTCAGATCAGAGTGAGTCGTCTTCCTAGACAGCGTTTCTGATCATCACAGTCACATTTCAAATGTTTTAACTGAGCTATGTGCCCCCGGCACACAAAAATGCCATTTAAGTAGGCAATTCACTAGGTTTTGAGACACAGCTACTGTCAAATAAGAGAAATTAGACAAAGACATCTCATAAATACTTTTATACAGTTCCCATGATGCCCTCTAAAATGAGTGACCATTAAGATGATGGAGAAAACACATTCAATGAAAAAACTGGCTAAATCATTGAACGTAATTCTAGTGGTGAAAATTAAAGGTTGATTGATATGGGGTTTAAAAAGGTAGACATTCCTAGAGCATATACTGCCAAAATATATTCAGTAAGACCACAGAGAAAACCTGGGATTAATTCAAAATGAACAGAAACAGAAAAAACACTTTGCACTGTCAATCAAATCAGCACATTTGTGACATTGAGCACATAAACTCATTTGTACAAAAAGTTTTGGTCTTTTAAAAAAGATTGGAAAACACTTTTCCAAAAGATTGTATAACACATACTCTACCGTACAAAACTTCTGTGAAATTTTTAAGATTTTAACATGTTTCATTTTTACACTTTGAAAGAAGTCTCTTATGCATTTATTTGATTAAAAACACTGAATATTACAGGACAACTGTAATATTGTGAAATTCTTTTGCAACATAAAATAACTGTTTTCTATTTGAATATATTTTTAAATGCTTTATTAAAAATTTTCAGCATAATTACTCCAGTCTTCAGTGTCACATGATCCTTCAGAAATCAAAAATGCTGATTAGCTGCTCAAGAAAAATCTCTTATTGTTAACAATGTTGAAATCAGTTCTTCGTTTTTTTATATTTTTAAGGATTTTTTTAATGAATAGAAAGTTCAAAAGAACAGCATTTAATTTTTTAAAACAATGTAAAAGTCATTATTTTCACTTTTGAACAAATATATGCTGTATATATATATATATATATATATATAGGGGAGAGCGGGGCACAAAGTAACACTTTTTGACTTTCTCAGATTGTGTAAATCCACATGGGGTTCAGAATATAATTTTTTTTATCCACAGTAATTTTACACTTGTCTAGTACAAATATGTTGCTTTGTTTCATAATTACAGTGTATACGTTTTTCTTTATTTACCCTCAAAAAATGGAAGTGAAATGTGACAACATGCCCCGTAGGTGGGGTACATTGTAACATCTGAGGGGCACGTTGTAACATGACCATTTGACAGCTTAAAATCTTATCTGATCGAATGAAAAAAATATGCAAGACAAACTAAAATATTTTGTTAATAAAATAAAATAATACTTTTTTTCAAATAAAATAATGGTGTTTTTTAAGAATTGACAATGAACACATTGCAATCATGCTTGGGAAGGCCCACATAAACGAGCAAAAATGCTTTACATGTCTTGAAATAATAATTTCTAAACATTAAACATTGACTGTCAGTCTTTATTCACCTGTTTCTCGTTGTTTCTCATTAAAATTCATTAAAGTAAATAGTGTAAATTACCTCGCTAATGTCATAGAATAACACATTGTAACGCAGTGTTACAACGTGCCCCATCTGCGCAACTGGAGTTTAAAACCAGTTGCTGTCTTCTGCTAGTTAGCGAAGCATAAAAAAAAAAAACTATCTAAACTGATAAATAACAGATTGGAGATTAAAATAATAGCAGATTTACTTAAGCCAGAATTTAAATTTTACTATGGTAAAATAAATGTTCATTGATATCTTCAAAAGATTTTTGAATTTTGGCACACTTTTTTCTATATAATTTTGATATGGTAACTAATAAATACTGTAAATTTTGTTATGCTAGCATGTGTGGAAATATTCAAACCATGTGTGTTACAACTAAACCTGTGTTACTTTGTGCCCCGCGCTCCCCTATATATATATATATATAAATATATGTACACTTTTACAAGTTTAGATTGTAAAATTGTATTGTATAATTATATAATGTAATAATCGTAATATGAAATTTCTGAAAAAAAAAATAAAAAATTAAGTTTTATTTTACACAATATTTAATAACTACAATTATTTGAAATCAAAAATGTGCATTTTCTATTTGCAAAACTGTCAGTATATCCAGGAGTTGACACACAGAGGAACAACCACTTCTGTTCATTTTAATTTCTGTTAAGATGCACAGTTAACAACTGATGCTGATAATCCGAAAATGTCCAATATCGAATTATCAAGATGCCAGAAGGAAAATCATACCTTTTGTAACTGTGTCTCCAGTTTACTGCATTCCTCTTTCTTCTGCTCGATTGCGATCTCAAGGGACTTGAGTTTGGAGTCTTTCTTAAGGCCTGACGAGGCCAGCGAGGAGGCGTGTTCTTTTAAATCTATGAGACTCGACTGGAAGAAGAGCAAGACAGTCCGATCAAAACCTCCCAGAAACACAACTGAAACAAGACACGCACGCAATCACTGACGTACCTCTTTCTCTGTTAGCTCCACTTGTAAAGAGTTCACCCTCTCTTTCAGGTCTTTATTCTCTTTTTTATATGAGTCCACCTCCTCCATTCTCTCTCGGTCTTCCCTCTCCCTTTGCTCTTTCAGGCGCTCGATAATTCGCTCCTGTGACAAAAACACATTGCACCTGAACTCGCGGCTAATTGAGCATGCTAAAACAATTTTCGCTTCCGTAACACTCAAGGTTTATAAATAAATGTCAGTAAACGTCTTCATTCTTCGCAGATTAGGGTGTGAATTCACAAAAACTTGCCGTAAAGTTGGAAAAATGCTGTAGAATCTGAGTAAAGTGTACCAGATCATCGTGGTCTCCAGGCATCTGGCCTGAATGCTGAGAAATGTGCTGTATACTTAAGACATTTTTTGGCCATGTTTTCATTGTTACCTGATTTGCATAATTACTTTAGAGAATCAGGTGCTAAATCAACACAGTGCATGCAAATAAACAATGCTATCAGCAGACACAATTTATTTCCTAAGTGTAAAATACTCTGAAAATGTCATACACAGCCTGTTGTCAAAGGCAATTTCTCAAACTTTGAAATTTATTTATAGTGAAAAGTGTCAGCTTTCACCAAAAACCTAAATTAGCATACTGTATATGAGGCAGCTCTAATTTTATGTGCTTCTGGCCTACATTTTCACTTTCACTTCCACTTGTTTGGGACAATTTCTGGCACCTTCTCAGACAGGGCTTCCTCTAGCGTGACGAGGGCAGTATCAGTGTTGCTGGAGTCCGTCTGGAGAGACTTCACCCTGTCCTTTAGATTCCCGAGCTGTTTATTTTTATCCCTCAGCTGCTCCTGAAGGTTCTCAATCTGAGAGAGAGGAAGATGATAAAAACCAGTCTGGATTTAGCAACCATCGAACCGTTAATTGAGAGTTTGGAGTTCTCTTTTGATTGCAAACTCAACAAAAAGCCAATGGAATTTTTCAATTGCCTTTTGGATAATGGCAGAAAATAAGCTCTGTGACCAACAAAAGTTAATGATTCTTAGATGTTTTGTTCATCATGATAATCTTTACAAATGAATGCAATTGTTATGAATCTTGAAGCCTAAATACAATTGCCAGAAGTAAAAAGTTAGGCTATAAACGAACTATATCACAGTTGCATGACTTCAACATCACGACCACAACAACTCTATATTAATATTGATTTAAAATCTACAAGTTGGTAAGTTTAAGTTAGAACAGTTTGCAAGAGCATGAGTATAAACACAATGAGGCTGTAAAAAAAATGTCAACTAGTGAGTAGATGAGTTTTCCTTTAAAAAAAAGTAAAAGCTTTAAAAATCATGAGTGGGGTATTAATGATGTATTTTATGTCATAGAATAAAACGTGAACATATATTGAGCTTGTTTTTACCACAGACCTTATTTCAAGCATTTCACCAAAAACCCATTAAAAAAAACTATTGACTTTGGGGCGATGGAACTCGTTTCCAGGTTTTAGGACTCATTCGGTCAGATAATGGGCTGGATTTCACTTCCTTCATCCCCCCAAGAACTGGATGCTTTCTTTGATGAATGGTGCAAAATCCCGTTACCCCAGTTATGGAGCAATATGAAGGGGTTTCAAGAACAAATGAAGTTGTTGAAGGCAAAGGGAGCTACTAGGGTGTTTCCTTGTATAAATATCTGAGAAATACAGCAGGTTGTTTGTGATGTGACTTAAAATATGATAAAAAGGATCAAACCAGCACACACAGCAAGAGATCAAAGTTAAATACGGTTTAGCCTTTTTTTTTACTCTTGAGATGTTTCCAGTGACTGAACAACATGAAAAAGGCTGAAGAACCCAGCAAAGCATGTGGTGAGATGGTAAGAAGATGAAAAAGCAGTTGAAATAAGACATGGGGAGAAAGACACTAATGCCCTGCGGCTCTGCAGTTAAAATGCCTTTTACTAATCCTGCCTTATCTGTGAAGAATATAAGCAGTTCTGCTTCAATTTTTAGTCAAAATTCAGCTCACCAGGTTTTAGAAAAGAGCTTTCTGTGTATTTCCCTAATTAATGAAGAATAAATTGTCCATTTCTCAGTATATTTTCTAACAAATCGGACCAAAAACTCTATATAGGTGTGCAATAAGATAAATCTGTTATATATACAGGCTTTCAAATTCCCTTGCTCTGGCTTATATCACACTCTTCTTGGTATCGACCCCAATCCTTTTTAATGGCCCATGAAAACTGGCCTCTGATCTTTGATTCTTGAGTGAGATTTACCTTCTTCTGCAGGACGTTTATCTTGCGTTCTTTGACTTCCAGCATGTCTTTCATGTCTCTGATCTCCCCGGCCAGTGTTCCCTTCTCCTCTGTCAAGTCTTGCAGTTGCTTCGTCTTCTTATTAAGGAAAGATTCCTTCTCTTCCAGACGCAATCTAAGAGCGTCCACCTAAACAACACACCATGAGCAAAGAGTTCATGTAAAGCTGATGAGATATGCCTTCAAGTGGTCATTGAAATAAAATAAAAGAGTAAATAAAAAAATCCCATAAAAATAAAATAATTTACAATAACACATACACGTAGAATTTTAAGGGACAAGGAGTTGCACCAAGGTAAATGTTAAAACTTAATAAAATAAAAATAAAGAAGTAAAATAGAGTAATAAAATAAAATAAAATAACATTTTAACCTCTGTCTGTAGGATGGCAGCACGTTGCTCTTTGGCAGTGAGAGACTCTTTGAGCACTTCAATATGCTGTTTGCAGTCTGAATTCTGATTATTCAGAGTTTCCAGTTTTGTTTGCAGAGCTAAAAGCTCAGACTCTTTTTTTGAGAGCTCCTGCTTGAGCTGGTCAATCTGAAAAAGAAGGCACAGAGAAAGAACATTTTTTGTTATTTATAGGACGGGGAAATCATTCAGCACATAAAATATAAAAAAACATCCGAGTATCCAGACAACAAATATTTTTTACAATATCATGTCATAAAATGTGTTAATCAGCTATGTTTTTTAAATAGTTCAACTGAAATGAGCATGGGAATTTTCTTCTCTACATCTGTACTCTCTTCACATAAAAGATGGATTTCAGAACACAATCCCCATTTAATATACATCAGCCATATAAATTATTGATTAAACGAGTTCTATAAATATCACAACAAAACCCCCAGCTTATTCACAAGCATGTTAGATACAGCAAAGACATCACACATATTAATACCCACACACACCTGCACAAAAATCAACTAACCAATGAGATTTAAGGAACAAGCCAGTTAAAAACAGTAGCAATGCGGTGCAAATCAAACAAACCAATCAGAACTCTGGATCAGAATATAATTAAATATGAGTTTAAAAGAACAAAGTCAGAATCCCAATTTGCATCTGTCATATTCAGTATGCAATTTTAAAATTAGTATGTACCCAAATCATTGCACATTGAAAATAGTATGTTAAAGTGGCCTGGATGGCAGTGTTATTTTAGTATATTTTAGTATAGCAATTATTGATCCGAATAATGTATTATAATTAGTAAATATAATTTTTTTTAATTAATAAAAAATTAGCTCTTATTTTTATATTTTTGGTTTTTGTTTTAATTTTATTTTCAGTTCTGTCAGGACTACTATCATCAAAGATGATTAACAATAAGCATACAGTTTGGATTGGCGGTATGGTTCTGTTCTGATCAATAACTCCCTGTGCATCCATGCAGCCTAGCATGGATGAGAGCAGGGAGAGCAGCAATAAAACCCCCAGGGTAAACAGAACAGAACCAACATAAATGTATTGCAGATATTGTTAAAGTTCAATAATGTTATGTACACATTTTAGAATTAGTCTGATTCAAAGGAGAATCAGAAGGCTGAATCCTGACTGACAGAGGAGGAGTTGGGGATGGAGGAGGGTAATTAGCTATTGAGCAATGCGAAAACGGCTGATGATACTGAGGGACCTTATATATGAATGCTTAGATAGGTGTCGTAGTCCCATAGGTTGATGGGGATCAGCTGAGAGTCAGCTGATGCGAGCTTGGCTAACGTGACCTGCCAGAACTAACGCTACGCTAGATTTTTAGTAATTCAGTTGTGTGCTTTTTATAAAAAATAAAAAAAATTTGTGTTTTCAATATTTCTATTTACCTTTAATTGATATTTTAGTATAGTTTTGGTCATTTTATTTTTTTAAGCTGAAGTTTTTCATCTAATATTTATATTTTACTTTATTTCAACTTCATTTAAAAAAAAAAAAAAAAAAAAGTTGTTTTACTTTCTTAATCGTTTTTTAACGATTCTTTTTTGGCTAATACTACCCACAACCTCTTACGCAATGTATTGTTTCGAGACACTTTTAGACGCAGTGCATGGTACACTTATTGGCACTGGAAACAGCCAAAGTTTATGAGGTAAGAAATTCTAATAAACCTACAGCAGACATACTGAAGTGTTTTGACAGGAAACACTGTCAGCAAAGTCGTGAGAAATATTTACACAGATGCTATAGACTCTGTTTCAATACTGCTGCTTCTAGCATTACTCAGCAAACCCATCATTACAATTCCACAAGACATCCACAAGGATGTTCTCAGCCACTTCCCTGACACTTAAAACCCTTTACTGCACTTAAACATTTTCTGACACATTTATTTCTTTAAAAGAAGCTCAATGTAATATTTCACCTAAGGATGGACTGAAAGTGGTATTGTGGCCGCTACCAATAGCAGATCTTTTTTTTTATGTTAACCAATCACTGATATTATAGCTGATCTTGCAAATCTTTACTGTTTTATTTGCTTTAAAAATAAACCTGAAACAGCATTCACAACCCATTTCCTTTCGTTAATATGAAACGATATTTAAAGTGAAAATATCAAGGGTGGGACTTTTATCCATCAAGAATTGGATTGTGCAATGTGTCACTATGGCAGGCAATTACAGGGGAGGGGTTGAAATATGAGGGGTTGAAAGCATAAATAGGACAGCTGTTTAAGAGACAAAGCAAATTTTTTAATTTTTAAGCAAGATTACAAAAATAAATAAATTATAATTTGGAATAAGAAAAATTTTTACTAACAAATTATCCAAAACAAAATCAGGAATGTTTGTTAAGAAAGTAAGTAGGGTCAATATTGATTTCATGTTTACTTTAAACAAAAAATCTTGCTCATATGATAAAAAAAAGCATAAGCTTCAAGCAAAATCAATATACATCTTCAGGCTGTTATCAATAATTAAGCAATTAAATTAACTTTTGTCATTATTTACTCAAATCTTGACCTAAATTTTAGTCTGCTTCTCATGTAAACCACATGGCTTCTAGAAGACTGTGTGTGGAAGTTGTGTGCACTATTTTTATAATGGTTTTTGCCTTTTTTTTTCCTATTTGGAGCTTGACAGTTGTGGTCAGCAAAATCTTTTGTGTCATCCTACTTATGAGTTCAACAAATTAAATAACAACAACATGAGAACATCCCTTAAAAAAACACCATAGATAATCAATATCATCAGATATATGTTGCATTTCACTTTATAAGTTACCTAAACACACTGATTTATTTGTGTCTATGGCTGTTTATAGTTTTGAACTCCCTGAAGTAAAAGTTTACCTTGGCCTTCATGAACTTGGAGTGGTTTTTGTAGACCTCCATCTGTTTGATCTCCTCCTCTCGATCCTCCGTGTTCAGCAATCCATTCGCCTTTAACATCTGTATCTCATCCTCCAGGTCCCGAATGTTGCGTTCCAGGGATGCGATTTTGGTGTCCTGGATAAACAATTTAGTGGAAAAATTAGCCACGCTGTGCTCCATCATCTTAAGCCAGTATGACAACTTTGGTGCGATTCTACGGATCGAAGCATGCCAAACCCTATTCCCAACAGATGGGATCAAAACAAGAGGAAGACAGGTATATGCGAAACTCTAACGTCTTGCAGCATCGCCAGTGAGTAGCTGCAGTACTGCTGCATAGCCAAAGCAGAATCTGTCTCTCTCATGCTAATGGATCAGCATGTAATCACCATTTGGTAGTACTGAGCGCACATCCAGCCCGGGCGGAGAGACGCTCTGGGAAAGAGAGCTGAGCGTGTGCCTCTTTGGACTGCGAGAACTCCCTGAAGTTGCAGCGTTGCAGCTCCTTCAGCTTTTTAAATAAATAATACAATGTCTTTTGCATTAGATATGGTCCATCTCCCATTTAGACATAAGAGAACGTTTGCTGTTCCTTCTCGCATGCTCTCTCCACTAACCCGCCCTTCCTTTCCGCTCTCTTCCTCTCTCGCTCTCTCTCTCTTGCTCACTCTCTCGTCTTTTTGTTTTCACAGACATCAATAGGCACCATTTTCACACGAGGCCTTTGAAAACCAACATCCCATTTTGCACATACTGTACACAGAGAGTAGATTCCTTAGGCAAAAAGCAAAGGCTCATCGTCAATATTTTGAAGGCTCTGAATGGTAAATCCTTCATCATTTAAATGCAATGTAACATTATACCTTGTGGCTCAATGAAAGATAATATCCATCTTCAGAGCATAAGCAAACAGATCACATTGCTCTCTTTTCTGTCATCCTCTCCCACGCCTGCATTTGTGCTCTCTGTGTTGTAAACAACTCCACCTGTTCCCATGGCACCAGAATCAGCATCCCTGCTCAGCCAATAGGGCGAGAGAACACTAGCGGTGATGCTAAAGGTTAAAAGAGCAATGGAAACCAGTACAGGTGGAGCGGCTTTTGCGGTTTTTGGTTCAAGGAAAATGCATAAATCGAATTAGCGAAGTTGCACTTTGAATAGGAGTCTATCATTACGCTTTTTGTATCACATGGATGCAGTGGTGAACTCTGGGTAATATTTAGCTCCAATCAGAGTGGACCCGAGGGGTGTGTGCGTGCCTTGCATGAGGTCATGCTTTATTTTTAGAGCAGTGTGTAATGCTTCTGCCTGTGAGCGCACAAACCCACTTACTGTTTCATTCAGCCATTTAGCAGCATGCTGCAGTGGCTTTGCCATCAGACATTTCTCTTGTCTTTCTGGACCACTTTCTGTTTGCTTTTTCTGTCTATTTTTCTTCCTGAGCAACCGGAGCATGCCAAATATTACTACACTCTCTAATGACAATACTAATTATTTGTAAGAACAAGTCTTTCAGGCTCACCAAGGCTGCATTTATTTGATTAAAAATATAGTAAAAACAGTAATATTGTGAAATATTATTACAATTCAAAACAGCTGTATTCTGTTTTAATATATTTTCAAATGTAATTTGTTCCTGTGACGTCAAACATCCATTACTCCAGTCTTCAGTGTCTCATGATCCTTCAGAAATCATTCTAATATGCTGATTTGCTGCTCAAGAAGCATTTCTTATTATTAGCATTGTTGAAAATAGTTGTACTGCTTAATCTTTTTTGGAAACCGGGATACTTTTTTCAGGATACTTTGATGAATAATAAGTTCAAACTAACAGCATTTATTTGAAATACAAATCTTTTGTAACATTATAAATGCCTTAACTGTCACTTTTGATCAAAATAATGCATTCTTGTTGAATAAAAGTATTAATTTCTTTAAAAACATTACAGGACCCAAACTTATGAATAGTAATGTATAGTACATATTATACAATATACAGCATTCACAGATATTTACCTTCATCTCTATGATAGTCTGAAGAGCTTTAGTTTTTCCAGGGTCTGGGTGAAGCTGGTTTCTCCGATGAAGCTCCTGAGAGAAACAATAAATTATAATCAACATAATGACAAACACATAACACAAAAATAGAGCTACTACACTGCAGAAAAAAAGGTGTTCTTGTTTATTACAACAACTTTTTTTTACTTGTTATAGTGTGAGGTTAAAATCCATTACTTAACCCAAACTCTATCCCTAAACCTAAAACCCAAAACATTGCAATCCAGGAACATGTCCTACTTCTGAAAATCACACTGTGCATTCTGATCTCTTTCACTCTTTGACATTTTTATAGTTTTATTTTATTCTCTTTGCGCTCACAGTGAATTATGCACACTATCTGTGTGGTTGCAACAGCACTGGCATGGATCTCCTCACGTTTTTTCTCTTGGGTTTAGATGACTTCACAGACCATATGCTGTTATTGTCTTTGTTGCATCTGACTGTCTATCTGATTATTACGATGGCAAACCACTTAACTTCAGATTGCTCCATGGAGACTGTCCCTGAATCATTATATTTTGAAAAATCTGCTTTGAAAAGTGTTACACGTTCATGTTTAAAAACACTCATTTTTGCAATTCCTGGTGATGCTAACAGAGCAGAATTCACAAACTTCACCTTTAAAGGGATAGTTCAACCAAAAATGAAAATTCTCTCAAGTTGTTCCAAACCTGTATGAATTTCTTTCAGCTGTTGAACACAAAATATGATATTTTGAAGAATGTTGGTAACTAAACAGTTGACGGTAGCCATCGACTTCCAGAGTATTTTTTTCCTTACTACGGAAGTCAATGGACACCGCTAACTGTTCGGTTACCAGCATTCTTCAAAATATCTTATTTTGTGTTAAGCAGTAGAAAGAAACTCAAACAGGTTTTGAACAAGTGAACAGTGAGTAAACGATGACAGTATTTTAATTTTTGGCTGAACATGCATGGCCCAAAATCCACTTTCAACCCAAAAGTGTGAGTAGAACCTGATACCTCTCTCAGATGGTGATTTTCCTTCTCCTTCTGGTCTAATATCACCTCTAGGTGGCCCAGCTGAGCTTCGGCCTCTGCGATACGCCTGGCTCGCTCTTGCTCTTCCTCATTTGATGCTCTTCCTGAGGCTGGGGGAAGCCCTTTACTCTGCAGCATCTCCAACAGCTTCTTTATGGACTCGTCTCTGGCTCCCAGCGTCTGTTTCTGCGTCTCAATCCTCAGCTCCATCTCTTCCAGCGTCTTCCTCAAGAGGAAGAGCTCTTTGGCCTGACGGTCGTGTTCGGCTTGGAGTCGACGGAAGTTCTCTTCGGTCAGCTCGATGGTGGTGAAGTGTTCTCCGCCACTGGCCCGCGACCCACTCTCCTGCTGGAGAAGATGGTTGAGGTCGCGTTGAGTCCTCAACTCGTCCTGCAGGGCCTGGATGGTCAACTGGAGGTGCTGGAGAAGGAAACAAAAGCAGAAATTAACATAAGATGGCTTGGGATCCTCATTTAGACAACAATCAGAAGGTATCCTCATCCAGACCCATTCAGAACATGTTTTGAGGTCAGAAATATCAGGTTAGTTTTGGAAAAAAGGCTAGATAGACCCCACTGTGATGTATAAACATATTGCACTGTGTCCTAACCAGGTGTGGGGCAACAAGCTGTTATAAAATGAAATATAATGCTAGATAAAAAAAAAAAAAAATGTAATTAAAAATCTTGCCTTGGCAACTGAAATAAGTTGAAGTACTAAAATTACCAAAACTGAAATAAAAATTAAATAAACCCCAAAAACTAATAAACACGACAACAGCACATAAGAAAATTACTAAAACGTTAACTAAAATGAAAACGTTTAAAATAAAAGCTAGTTAAAAATATGAATAAATACTATTATATTATATAAATAAGACTAAAATAGCACTGCTTTGGACCAATGAGATTTCACTGTGGGCGGGGCTAGAATTGATAGCCTAAAGCATTGCTGCATCATACCTGGTTTGAGTACAGATTACAACTTAACTGGTTCATTTTTGCATTCATAATAACTTCTATTTTCCATTTCTTTGACTGTGATCAATGCTGAAAGTTAAATTTTGAATAGCTAAACTGACCAATTTAGCAATATCTGGAAATATATCCAGATAAAGAATAAAGAATACAGCGGGAAAAACCACAGTGGGGTCTATTCTAGGAGAGGAAACCGGAAAGGATAAGGTTTCTCTAGAGAAAACACAAACTAATAGCTCCTTAAATAAGGTTAATGACAAAGAACTGTGCTAGAAATAGTCACAAGATAATGGGGTTTTCGGGTCTATGTGGCACATGTGGCACCTTCGGCAGAATGAGAGAGTTTATGGGCCCAGAACTGGATCAGATAATCCACACTCGTATCAGGAAATGTAGATCCTTACACATCCTTGCGCTATCACAAACAGAACACACAATTCTGACCGAAGAAACGGTTCAGTCGACGATCACAGGCATGCTTTTGGTCAGGATTTTAGGAAAGAACCAGCTATTTAAGTCCCGGCTACCCCGCCTTAGCTTATCTTGAAGGAACAAAGAGGAGCAGATAAGGGAAAATGTTCCTTATTGAGGTTGTCCTTATATAAAGATCTGATCCATTTAAACGTGATAATTAAAATAGAAATTGTCTCAGATCAGCAGCTAGTAGGGATGCACTGATATAACATTTAGCTGATGTAGATAGCTGATAATGAAATCTGTTTGCCAATGAAATCTATAAAATGTCTTTTTTCAAATTCAGTCAATTCAGTTCAGTTCAGTTCGCTTTTATTTGTATACCACTTTTCAAGATACATATAGTATCAAAGTAGCTTTACAGAAAAATGAATGAAGCCATGTTGTTATTGTTAAATAAAAATATAAAAAATCATTTTAGTTACTTGAAAAAAAAAAAGAAAAAAAAAGAAAAAATTTAAATATTAGATAAAAAATTCAACGAAAATTTTAAATTATGCTTTGGCAACATAATTAAATAAAATGTTTTAGAACCAAAATGACTAAAACTGAAACAAAACAAAAAAAAAGCAAAATGGAAATATTTATTTTAAAAAACTGATAAAAATAACAAAGGCAAATAACAATATAGAAAATGGTAATTGAAATCTCGCAGAAATTTAGAAATAAAAAGGAAATGTTTCAATTAATATACCCATTAATAAAATAAAATAATTAAATCAAATAAAAAATAAATAAATAAATAAAATCTGCTGATAATAACTGCTTTCGATATTGGACTAATGAGACCAACACAACTAAAAATCCTAATATTGGCTAATACTGACATGGTCATCATTATTGTGCATCCCTAATAGAAAAGAACAACACTCAAAGAAACCCACGAGATCCAAATCCAGGGATCAGTTTCAGGGTACAGTCTGGTTTTGTTTAAAGATCAGGGACACATTTCACGTCGAGTGTGTGGTACCATGTTCTGCGCACGATGGCGAACATGACAACAAACCTTTGTCCTCCTGGCGTCCAACAGGTGCTGCATGATTGTGGAGTGCAACAAAACAGAAACAATGAAACACAGCAGAGTGAGTACAGAAGGAGATGGACTAAGCAATGACACAAGACAAAAACAAATTGATAGCATTATTCAAAGAATTCAATTACAAAGAATAATGAGGCATTTTTCATTCAGGACACTGTATACAAACACATTGTTAATGGAAAAACATAACAGAATGGAAAATACGATTAAAGGCCATAGGAAGTCATAGAACTAATGTGAATGATAATTCTGGAAAGACGTCAGATATTAAACAGGATAAATGCACTGGGATTTATTTGTATCATGGCATTGTAATGTCTGCATTTGGCCAGCAGAGGGAAAGGAAGTGCTGTTTCAGACACACAGGAGTGAACTGTGAGCTGGCTGAACTGTGAGGAAAAAAGTCAGAATTGTGAGATAAAAAGTTGCATATTTATTGTTAATGTTTATTATTATGTATAATAGGATTTTATGCAAACACACCTAAATATATATATTTATAATCATATTCAAATTCATATATATGTATGTATGTATGTATATATATATATAATGAGGAAAAAATTTTTACTTAAATGATTTTAGCAAATGGCTGCAATATAACAAAGAGTGAAAAATTTAAGGGGGTCTGAATACTTTCCGTACCCACTGTATATATATGTGCATTCAGATTTTTTGCACTGACATACTGTTTTATGAAAAATACATAGATAATGTCCAAGTCATATTTCACCCTAAATTTCACTGCAACTTTTTATTCTGTTTTTTATCTCTCGAAATTCTACAATCTCGCAATTCAGATTTAAAAAAAATAAAAATAAAAAAATAAAAAGGTAATTGCGACCTTTTTCCTGGATTTGAGAATTTATTTCACAATTCAGATTTTTCTTCTCAGAATTGTGAATTTATGAACTCAGAACTGTGAGGGAAAAAGTCAGAATTGTGAGATAAAAAGTTGCATATTTATTGTTAATGTTTATTATTATGTATAATATGATTTTATACACACACACATATATATATATATATATATATAAATATATATATACACACACACACACACACACACACACACATATATATATAATTTCTTCTTTATTTTGATTTAGGGGTGAAATATGACCTGGTTATGGTCTTGGCAGGTTTGTGAGATTAACTCATCCTTATAATGTAACTAACAATATTCTGTCTTTAGAAATAACTAATTGGCTTTTATGACTCAGTGCTGATACTGCACTCCGTCTGCGCTCACTACCTCTTAAAGAATCGAATGCAGCTGTAGGGAATCGTCTGTGTTTACCGCAGGCACATTAGCAAATTAATTCAGACTCCACACTCATTCACACTCGACTGCAAGCAGACACACACAAAATCTAACACGTGTACTCGTTTATCACAGATAAATGCATTTAGATATGCACGGCACACTCAAAAACAGAGGAGATGAGAGTTCGGCTAATTCAATTTGTCGACCGAATAAACTCACTATTTCTACAGCTCTATTTCTGTTGTATTCACTCTTCCCAGCATAGATCGTGTTTCCTTCAGGACAGGAAGTTTATTGAGAACACAGGACATTTGTCTCTCTCTCTCTTCTGTTTATCCATCTCCTTTCCTTATTCCTTATTCCTTATCCTCTCCTCCTTCTCTTTCCCTCTCCGATCAATAATCTGTCTTGGCTGGCAAAGAATTCAAGGAAACGGTCCAATTATTCCATTTGCATAATTACAACAGTTTGCAAAGAGCCACAATCCCCTGTGTTGCAAAACGGTGGCCAGAATAAACTCCATTCCTTACAGCCAGAGATATACATGGGGTAGCTGTTCCCATGCATTTAAAGGGACCATTCTCCCAAAAATAAAAATGCTGTCATCATTTATTAAACCCTCATGTCACCTTTCGAACAATAACTGAATATATTCATTCCTGGGTGAACTGTCCCTTTAAGAGCATGAGGTTTGAGTTGAATTAGCGGAGTCATTCAGAAGTGTTCAACTTTCATGCTGTGTGTGTGTGTGTGAGGAGCTCTCAGACGCACTGAAGCATAGGCAGGCATGAATATGTATCCCATATGGCAGCGCATGACAAAGGGAGAGGCGGCATCACGCGGAGGAGAGCTGGCAGCAGGAATAGTCCTAAGCATCCCTGATGAAGCCCGCATCACTTCCTCTCCTGCTCATTACTCATTACCCCCCATCATTATCACAAATGTTTCAGCATCATGCATCCAAGAGTGAAACAATTTTTCAGTCAATTTGTCATTCTGTGGATACATTTAATTCCTCTACATATTGCATCTTTATGCTGTGTTTAAAAATTACAAATTTTGACTGTTTCATGTGTTTTGAACTGTCATTACAGTACCATGAAATTCCTTCAAGAATCTTGAAGTGACGTATACACTACAATAAAATTGTTTTTTGAAATAAATTCAACTTTTATTCAGCAAGTATGCATTAAATCTAAATTGTCAGTAGACATTTATAAGGTGAATGCTGTTAAATGCTGTTCTTCTGAACTTTATATTCATCAGAGACTCTTGAAAAAAGATTCTACACAGTTTCTACACAAAATAAAGCAGCACAACTGTTTTCAACATGGATAACAATAGGAAATGTTTTCTTTTGAGCAGCAAATCAGCATATCAGAATGATTTCACAATATTGCTGCTTTTACTGTATTTTTGTTCAAATAAATGCAGCATTGGTAAGCATAAAAGACTTCTTTCAAAAACGTTTAAAAAATCTTACAGACCCCAATATGTTTAACACTAGTGCAAATAAAAATATAATACATAAAAATCCATCAAAGTACCACTTTATTCTTTAGTAGAACTAGAGTTAGTAGTAGACAAGAAATGTGAAGAAATAACATTCAAATAAATGGCCATCTAAAAGTACAGTAATTGGATGAAACTGGCTGTACTGAGCTAATTTTGCATTTTTCTGAATCAAACACAATGGGGCACATTCATTAAACACAAATAGAACAAATTTCTGTCTTAAGTAATTCACAAAACCATTGTATTGAACTAAATCCAGCAATTTACATAAGAGGGTTTGATGTACAAAATGGTTTTACGATTTACACATGAATTTGTTGTGCGCAATGTTTGGTGACCTTCATATTATGAAGTATGAACTGTAATGTGTTCTTGGTCTTAGAGAAGTGAACAATCAAACTAAATGTCCAAATCTTTACTTGTTGGCCATAGCAAATTTCAGGAACACAGATCCTAATACAACATACACCAATGAAGTCGAGTCTGTATGCACACACACACACACACACACACACACACACACACACACACACACACACTCACGTCCACCCCAATGACAGACGCTTTATCTTTCTGCACAACATCCATCAGCTCAGTCCAAATGTAAAAATATTTTGCTCTGGCTGTCAACCACCACAGTTAATGTTACTGCATCTCAAACTGAATGATTACAGTGAAAGCCAAAACAACAGCCAGGATATAAGAAAATAGTATTAAAGCGATCAATTTTGTAGCATTTCATTTTTTCCCCCCACAAAAGTCTACTTATATCATTAGTCAAGATGTCTTAAATCAGAAAGTTGTACATTAATATTTTCCAATCTCCCTCAGAACGGTGAGTATGAGTGGTTATGAATGAGTGAAACGCATTTGTCCATGTTTCTAATCGCGCTAGTGGAAAGCGCTTGAGAAACAGTGTCTCTTCCATGGCTCGGTACGCTTTCAACTTGTTTTTTAAGTCTCGAGCAAGACTGTACGACATTCACTTTACATGATTTAAATGATTTTTACGTAGAAAGGGGCGACAGCGCACCGCATTACAAGAAATGATCATTCATGTTTTCATAACCGCTGGCCAAATTCAAAAACAAAACAAAACAAAAATTAAATCATCTTTGAGAGCAAGGGGGCCCCCTGGTGTTTCGGGGGCCCTACGCAGCTTGCATATTTTGCGTATAGGGAGGCTCTGATAGCAACATTAAAATAAGTAATTTTGAGGGGTAAAATGCATGAAATAATTCACAAGACCAGTAAATTATATTAGTAAAGTAAAAGTGTTTATTTACATTTCATGCTCATTCAAAACTAAATATAAATCATCCAAAGGGACACGCTAATGAAATAAATACTGATTAATTTGTGACTGACTAAATTGTGACTATCACAATGAAATAAATAAATACTGATTAATTTGTGACTGGACAACAATGAACAGGGAGTGAAAAAATTTTAATATTAAGTAAAAAATACAAAATAAGCAATTTTTATTGGACAAAATTTGTGACTGGACCACATGAAGAGGCAGCGAAAAAAGAAAAAGAGAAGAAATATTTCATATGTGGATAGCCAAAGCCACTAAACACCTCATGGATTATCACCGCTGCATGCTAGGACACAACAGACGCTCACACACACACACACACTCACCAGGGCTCAACAGTACATGCTGAAGATCAATAAGTAGTTAATGTTCTTCCCCACAATCACCCAGACACACACACACACACATTTATTTATTTATTGTCTCGTTATTCACAAAACAGCGGCTCGAAAACTGCATTTCTTCTCTCTTTCAATTCTTCACTCGTCAATCACAGACCGTTGTTTAGCTAATCTGTCTTCTAATTCCCTCCGGCCACTATTTCCCCTCGAAAATGTGCTTTTCACCCATCCATCCATCCCTATTTAGTTTCCTCCGCAGCTCTGGACAGATTATCGCGAGGAATGCATGCGAAAAATCACTGATTAAAGAATCAGTGTCTGTGCCTTCGATTTCGTTTTTAGCTATTAGTTTGAACAGGGAAAGAATGCGATCGAAGATCATTACTTTTTTAGCCGTGACAACAGAGAACAGAGGCCTCGTTACAACTCATGATTCCCTTTTTTTTGGCTTAGTCATGCCAGAAACAGTACAAGGAGACCGATCCCTCACAGAAAAGGGAAGAAAACGCAAATATGCCGCGTAAGGAATGGAAGACATGCCTTTTGATAG